AGGAACTTCCCTGATGGTCCAGTGGTTAAGAACATACCTTGCAGTGCAGGAGTCACAGGTTCGCTCCCTGGTCAAGGACCTAAGATCCCACATGCCGAAGAGCAACTAAGGCCGAGAGCCGCCACTGCTGAACTCTCACACCTCAACTAGAGGGTCCATGCGCGGCAACAAAGATTCCACATGCCACCAAGCCCTGATGAAGTCAAATAAGAGAAATAAAAATTGTAAAAAATACTGTCTTTGTTGAGAATTGCTAAGAAAGTAGATCTTTACAGTTCTCATCTCAAGGAAAAAAAAATTGAAACGATGTGTAGTGACAGATGTTAACTAGATTTATTGGGGCAGTCATTTCACAATACATACAAATATAGGGTCATTGTACACTTGAAACTAATATAATACTATATGTCAATTATATCTCAAAAAAGAATGGACAAAGTTCTAAGGTAGAATTGCACTATTCAAATAGCTCTTGGATATATATGATACAGATTGTTTCCCAGATAAGAGATTTTAAATTACGCTTTCCTTGCTAATTGTTTTATGGTCAGACTGTAAATTCTTGACTTTTAAAGACTTTGCACATTCCACTGACTATTTATGAGTTTTTCCAGTTGGAATTCAGGTCAGTAAGTGAACACTAGTACAGTCTTTTGGATTCTCCCAGAGTTCTGAACTACTGTCAAAAGCACAGGGAAGGAATCTAAGGCGAATGAACTTAGGAAGAGAAGGTCTGAAAACTCACACCAGGTCTGGAACAAGATTTAACTGGTAAAGGAAGAGTCAGAATCTGTCTGAAGGCTTGGTCTTGCTGCTGATTCAGAGGATGGCGACTCTGAGGGCAAGACACCAAGAGGCTGTGGGGATATAGATTTACACTGCAGGGCTAAACATGTCTTTATAAACCATTACAGGGCCAGGGAACCAAATACAGACCAAATATAAGATGATAAGATGCAGATGGTGTTATCACCTTCAGATTGCAAGCATCGTTACATACAACTGGAGAAAGCACAGTTTGAAAGTGAAGGTCACGGGGTGTCCCGGGTGTCTCAGTGGTAAAGAATCTGCTTCCCAATGAAGGAGACATGGGTTCGATCCCTGGTCCGGGAAGATCACACATCCTAACAACTCAGCCCGTGTGCCACAACTGTTCAGCCTGAGCTCCAGAGCCTGGGAGTTGCAACTACAGAGTCCACATGATGCAACTATTGAAGTCTGAGTGTCCTGGAGCCTCTGCTTTGCGGCCAGGGAAGTCACTGCAATGAGAAGCCCATTACCGCAACTAGAGAGTAAACCCCGCTCGCCACAGCTACAGAAAAGCCGGCGCGGCAACAAGGAGCCAGCACAGCCAAAAATAACTAATTTTTTTAAAAAAGAAAGTGAAGGTCAGGACTTCCCTGGTGGTCCAGGAGTTAAGACTCTGAGATTCTACTGCAGGGGATGTGGGTTCCATTCCTGGTTGGGGAACTAAGATCCCATATGCCGTGTGGTGTAGCCAAAAAAAAGAAAGAAAGGAAAGGGAAAGTCAAGAGTTTTAGCAGAAACTTAAGAAACAAGTTTCATGGAGTTTTATGAAAAAATAAAATAACATGAAACCTCCTAGGAAATGAACTGTAAGAGGAAATTGACTACAGTACGGTAAAACTTAAGCCATGTGGTGGAAGGGCTGGATGCACAATGAGCCAAAGATCTTAAAGAATTGGGGGAAAAATGGTGTTGAGACAAATCCACATTATTTTCCCTGATGCGGCAAGAGCAGGGAGGGGGGAGCTTTATGATAATTGATTGAACACTCACTCTGTTGGGGAAAAATGAAACAAAAAGAAACAAGTTTTAAGAAAAGAAATGCTCACAAGGACTAAAAATGAACTGACCCTCAACAAGGAGCCCTGTGCCCAGGTGTTCCAAACTCAGCATCTGAGCATTCGACACAGGCCCAAGAAGACCAGGGGATCCTCTGTATTAACAGAACCCTGAAGCTTAATGCGGGCTTCCCAGGCGGCACCACCTCCCAATGCAGGAGACATGAGACTTGGGTTCGATCCCTGGGTTGGGAAGATCCGCTGGGGGAGTTCATGGTAACCCACTCCAGTATTCTTGCCTGGAGCATCCCTATGGACAGAGGAACCTGGCAGGCTATGGTTCACAGGGTTGTAAAGAGTCGGACACGACTGAGTAACTTAGCACGTACGCATGCAGGAAGCTTAATGCATAACCTTCTGCAGTTCTCACTGGTGAAGGGGGGGTATGCCGGTACTGGCCCATTTTACAGATTCGGAATTGAATGCTCAGAGAGCCGTAAGTAACTCTGAGGCCATGTGGCTGGTGCGGATCCATAGACCTTCCCACTCATCACTGCCACTCTGCTGTCTTCCGTGGTTTCTATTAGCCTATCAGCCCTTTCGGGCGACCTTGACCCAGGGAGCCTTCTGCAGGGCTCCGCAAGGTCTGCATTCAGACCTTCCTCTGAACGTTGCAGTGTTAGCAGATATTGAAGGAGTGACTCTAACAAGCCTGTGGGCAGGTCCTGCCTCCACACTCCAGAGAGAGAGAGAGCCAGTGAAGAGAGATAGCCCGCGAGTGAGCACGCTTCTCACCATGCCAGTCAAGAGGAGCAGGTGCCCTGACGAGCAGATGGGGCCCCACCGAGGGGATAGGTAACAAACTTCCACATCGGGACCCTGACTCTGGGCTAGCACAGATGCCCCACTTTCTCAGAAGGCTTTAAGAGAGGACCCCGAGAATCTTCCTTTCTCCCAGGTCTGCCTGTCCCAAAGCAATCCCCAGGGACTCACTAGCACTGTCCTGTGACCTTTGGGCTCATCTGGATATCTAGAATGCTGTTAAATTTACCCCCAAGCACGGCTGCTGGAGGAGCCCAGTGATAAGCAACCACGCTTTAGGCTGGGCTCTTCCGTCTCAGATAAGATCTCATCTGAGATAAGGGATTAGAGAAGGACTTGGGGTCAGTGGGGAGAGCTGGGTCTGCCCCCAGCCCCGCTGATCACAACTGCAGCCCCTCTGCTCCCTCTCTGAGAGGAGAGGTCTCCAGACCCCTTGATGTGCTTCCTTCCCTCTGGGGCCTCGGTTTCCCCAAGTGAGAGTAAGCAAGAACACAAAATTGATGACATCCGCATGCCTTTGCATTTTAAAGTCCTTCGACCTGAGATTGTCATACTGAGTGAAGTCAGAGAAAGTCAAGTATAATATCACTTATATGCGGAATCTAAGAAATGAACCTCTTTACAAAACAGAAGTATAGCCACAGACGTAGAAAACAAACATTGTGACCAGGGGGAGGAAGGGGGGAGGAATCAACTGGGAGATTGGGATTGACATATACGCACTATAATATATAAAATAAATAACTAATAAGGACCTACTGTATGGCACAGGGAACTCAGTACTCTGTAACGGCCTATATGGGGATAGAATATAAAAAAGAGTGGCTAAGGGGGGAAGGATGGGATTGGGGAGATAGGGAGTTTGAGATTGACAAGTATATACCACTGTATTTAAAATGGATGACCAAGAAGGAACTCTGCTCAATGCTATGTGGCAGCCTGGATGGAAGGGGAGCTTGGGGGAGAATGGATACCTATATATGTATGCTGAGTCCCTTCCCTGTCCACTGAAACCATCACATTATTAATTGGCTATGTTGCTGCTGTTGTTTAGCTGTTAAGTGTCTGATTCTTCTGCAACGTCATGGACTATAGCTCGCCAGGCTCCTCTGTCCAGGGGATTTCTCAGGCAAGAGTACTCGAGTGGGTTGCCGTTTCCTTCTCCAGGGGATCTTCCAGACTCAGGGACTGAACTTGCATCTCCTGCCTTAACAGGCAGATTCTTTACCATTGAGCCATCAGTTCAGTTCAGTTCAGTCGCTTAGTCGTGTCCGACTCTTTGCGACCCCATGCACTGCAGCACGCCAGGCCTCCCTGTCCATTACCAACTCCTGGAGTTTACGCAAACTCATGTCCATTGAGTCGGTGAGGCCATCCAACCATCTCATCCTCTGCCGTCCCCTTCTCCTCCCACTTTCAATCTTTCCCAGCATCAGGGTCTTTTTAAATGAGTCAGTTCTTTGCATCAGGTAGCCAACTATTGGAGTTTCAGTTTCAGCATCAGTCCTTCCAATGAATATTCAGGACTGATTTTCTTTAGGATGGACTGGTTGGATCTCCTTGGGAAGTCCCTAATCGGCTATACTCCAACACAACATAAAAAGTTAAAAAAAGAAAAAAAAGCAGCTAGATGTATTATGTATAACTGACTCACTTTGCTGTAAACACTGTAAATCACTACACTGTAAATCAACTATACTTTGATTCAAAAAATTAATTTAAAAAAGTCCTATGAGCACAGGCCTGGGCCACTTGAGCAGCAGCAGTAACAAATCATAGAGGTGTGTGGCCAGGGCTGCAGGTGTGGGCAGAGCAGAGGCCTCACTGTGTCCCCATTGGACAAGCTTGTGGATCCAGAGGGTGCCGAAATCCAGTCACTGGCCAAGGTGGATGGGAAGGACTCATCCACCACCCCGCGGTCTTGGTCAGAACCAGAGGGATGGGGGACCAAGGATGCTGTAGGAAATTCCTCAGTGGGGAAGGAAATTTCTTCCCGTCCTCTCCCCCACTCCGCCTTGAAAGAGGTCCACATGCAGCTTTGCTGTTTGTTTGTGCTGCCTGCCTGGAGTTGTAAACACAGCCTACTAAGATAACAGAAGAATGGGTTCCAAAATTTACCTCCTCTGGTTCATCTTTCAGAAAGAAATTTCTCCTTACAAGATGCAGTTGATTTGGAGCATTCTGGTTAATTTTAAAACAAACTGGTCTGGACACAAATGAACAAAACAAAAACATTTTGGAGAGAAACTGGCTTGCCCAACCCTCCCCTTTTTTTGCATGGTCTACCCAAGCTTCATAGATTAAAAAGAAAAGGTGTTTAATAATTACCTTTGTTGACCTCTGTACCTTCTGGCTTACTCCTCTCCTGGGCATGAGACATGGCCATTCCTAGGACACAGCTGTGTGGAGGAAGGTGGTCAGACACCCAGGGGAGATCCCTGGGCTCCTCGAGGTCAAGGTGAAGGTAAGGCCATTGGTGATGGGAAGGCTGGCAGAGCCCCTGGCCGGGGACCCGAGAGGGACTTTATCTGGAAAAAGGGAACAGGAAATGACCACCAACTAGTTCAGCCTTGTACTGTTTTATTTTCTCATCAATGCTCTTTGCATCACTCAATGAAAAAATATCTGCACTGTAGATCTATTATGTGTGAGGGGCCTTAAACTTTGAAACTAATTTTGAGAAAAGCTTTCTTTCCTCAGACTTGACTCCATTAAGTAGATTCTAGAATGTTTTAAAATATTTCTTTTTTTTTTTCATTTATTTTTATTAGTTGGAGGCTAATTACTTTACAATATTGTAGTGGGTTTTGTCATACATTGACATGAATCAGCCATGGATTTACATGTATTCCCCATCCCAATTCCCCCCTCCCACCTCCCTCTCTGCTAAAAGCTTTTGAAAAAATGAGCTTGGGCTGCAGAATGACTTTTAGGCATGTCACTGCTGAGATATAGGACCCAGAGGATGGGAGAGGAAGCGTGGGGGCGCTGGAGGAGTTTGGAAAAGAGCCTGGAAGCCCAATTGCCCCAGGGTCTGAAGGACAGTCAGGATGTTGTTGGACCCGAGCAAATTATGCCTACGAAGCCAACAGCTGCACTTTCTCAACTGTAAAACTGTAGATAATTATCTGCTTGTGAAATCAGTGCTCACAACCCACAGCTGACTCTATTTGCATCTTGTCCGCTAGAGCATTTGCCGAGTGAACGCCCGTGGCCTCCTTGCAGCCTCCTAGAACTGGCAGGAGGGGAAAATGGAAGAGACGAGCCTGAGAAAAAGGAAGGGGGATGAGAGGTCTATCCAGAGCAGCGAACCCAAGACCATGAGTCTCCAAAAGGAGGTAAGGCCATCCTTGGGGACAGACCCTTCCCAGGTCCAATCAAGGTGGGTGTACGCAACCAAGTCATCCTTCCCCTCCACCACACACACACAGCACTTCTGATTAAACAATTTCTTGCACTCACACCCCATTCCTTCTTGCCAGTGAACTCAGCATATTCTTGTGAGGTTAATATGCGTGTGCTTGTATGTGCTGGGTAAGCACCTAGAAGGCTGGTGTTTGCTCAGGCCAACAGTCTTTTCCTAGATAGTCAGAGACAACTTCGGATGTTGGATCCCTGCTACAGCACCTTCACCACATGTGTCCTCTTAAGTTTGAATTCCTCCGGCAGTAGGGAAATCCTATTTCTTCTTAGCCAGTAGCTGGGGTGACGAGTCTGACATGGGAGTGACATAGGCGATCCCTCTGAGTTGGAATGTAGTAAGGGCTGAACCAGGGCTTCCCAAGTGGCGCTAGTGGTAAAGAACTCACCTGCCAACGCAGGAGACCTAAGAGTCGTGGGTTCGATCCCTGGGTTGGGAAGATCCTCTGGAGGAGGGCATGGCAACCCACTCCAGCACTCTTGCCTGGAGAATCCCATGGACAGAGGAGCCTGGAGGGCTACAGTCCATGGGGCCACAAGAGCTGGACAGAACTGAAGCAACTTAGCACACACAAGGGCTGAACTTGGAGTTGCCTGCAGCCTCAAGAGGAGTCAGATGGGGGTGTCACTGGACCTGTGAGGAGGGAGAGGTTTGGGGGTACGGGGGAGTGAATGGACAAGCTTCAGGCTCAGAGGATGAGGAGCAAGGGCCCCCAGAGTGAGGTCAGGATGGAGTCAAGGGCAGGATGAGCGGGCTGGGCTCCGGGCAGAGCCTCCAGATCTTCCATGTCTGGCTGCCGAGGAGAGGAAGGAGGGACCAGGGGCTTGACAGGGGGAATCATGTAGCTTGACTGCGTGCCACCCTGGGATCTTGGGGCCCCAGGAATTGGCTGATGAGCAGCAATACCCTCCTTTTGGCCGTGAGAGAAGCATAGCCAAGCAAACCCTCTGCATGTCCTAAACTTGGGTAGGCAGCTTCAGGGTGAATGCAGAGCTCGGTAGAAGGTCCAAGGCATCGGTGAGTCAACCTGGGCCATCACAGGAGGAATCTGAGGTGGCCATGGGAAACAGAAGCTGACACTTCTCTGGACCCCCATTCCTCCAATGGTATGTCCCTTGGGGGCTGGTCACAGCTGGGCTCCTCCGCGTTCTCTGAGTTGGAACCCTGAGTGCAGCCTGTGCCCAGAGAGACAGGCATATGTACGTTCAACTCAAGCTCCAGAAATCAGGCTGGTAGCTTCGGGGGGCTGATGTTATAAGCAGGAACATGAAACAGACCGTTTTCTTCCTTAGAAATTTTTTCTTGATTCATGTAGGATTTACACAGAGTGAAATGCACAGACCTTCAGTGTTTAGTTTGATGAGCTTGACAAAGTGGTCACCCCAGAATCTTCCCTCTTGCCCCCCACCCCTCCATGTTCTATCTCTGCAGATTCGTTCTGCCTCTTGTGGAATTTCATGGGAATGGAATCATATGGGACGTGTCCGAGCCTGGTCTCATTGGTAGGAAGGTCATATTCTACAAGAGGGCATCAGAGAAAGTTCACAACCCCTGAGTGCTTCTGTCCCCGGAGGCCTAGTCACTCACCCCTCACCCCCACGCCCCTGGCCAGGAGCCCCAAACCCTGACTTCACTCTTAATTTGGGGGAGGAACTCCATGCCACTCGACCCAGCTCAGAGGTAGGTCCTAAGGGCCTTTGTTGGTGAGTGACTGTCAAGTCAGGCTTTACCACCTGGGTCTCATTGTCAAGAGCAGTGAGAGCTGGTGCTTGGAAACTCAGCCGGGTCTGTGAACTGCATGGGCTGTGAACCCTGGGCAGTAGCTGGATCTTTCTGTTCCTCTGTTTTCTCCTCTGTAAATGGATATGATAATTGAATAACTGACTCATTGCTGTTGTGAGGATTAACAGACTTAATCCACACAAGCACGGGGCTTTCCAGGTGGCACAGTGATAAGGAATCTGCCTGCCAGTGCAGGAGATGCAAGAGACTTGGGTTGGATCCCTGGGTAAGGAAGAACCCCGAGAGGGGGAAATGACAGCCCACTCCAGTATTCTTGCCTGGAGAATCCCATGGGAAGAGGAGCCTGGTGGAGTCGCAAGGTGTTGGGCATGACTGAGCACGTGTGCACACACAGGCACACACACAGATCCCCAGGGGCAGCACCCTGGTGCTCTCCTTCTAACAGCACAGGGTGAAGGTGCCTGGGACTCTGGGCTGCCTGGCTGTACCCAGCGTGGGAGGGGAGGAGGATGGAAGGAAGAGGGCTGAGTCCGGCCTTCTGAGCTGCACCCTGCAGCGGCACTAACTCTTCTCTCCCCCGCTCTACAAACCAGCTGGGCCTGTTCAGTGGCACCTGCATCATCGTGGGCACCATCATCGGCTCTGGGATCTTCATCTCCCCCAAGTCTGTGCTCAGCAACATGGAAGCCGTGGGACCCTGTCTCATCGTATGGACCATGTGTGGGGTTCTTGCGACACTGGGTAACAAAGACGCCCACCCTGGCGATGACCCCCTGTTGCATGTGGGGCAGGATGTTGGAGCTCTGTCTGTGCGGGGTCATGTCGCTGCCCGGATCCCCCTCAATGCTTGTGTGCAGATGTGTGTAAACTGGGGTTTATGGAATGTCCAATGGCCAGAGCTCAGGATGAGGGGCACGGTGGTGGGCCCTGGGAGCACACCCTGCAGTGGGAATAGCACACCCCTTGACCAGGGCAAGACCTCACGAGGGGCCCGGGGCCCCCTTTCTCTCTGTATCCCAGGCGCCCTGTGCTTCGCGGAGCTTGGCACGATGATCACCAAGTCAGGGGGCGAGTACCCCTACCTGATGGAGGCCTTTGGCCCCATTCCGGCCTACCTCTTTTCCTGGAGCAGCCTGTTCGTCATAAAGCCCTCATCCTTTGCCATCATCTGTCTCAGCTTCTCCGAGTACGTTTGTGCACCCTTCTACCCGGGCTGCAGCCCTCCCCAAGCTGTCATTAAATTCCTGGCTGCCGCTGCCATCTGTGAGTACCTGTGAGGAACACCACGCAGGGGCAGAGACCTGGTACCGCTGGGGGCGGAGAAACTGGGCTTCTGCACACCCAGAAAAAGGCTGGGTGGGCCTGGAGGTGCCAGTAGGGAGCAGGGCCAGGTCTGGCCTTGGTCCCAAGCCTGATGGCCTTTGCCGTCCTGTCTCTGCTCTCCGGGGCCATCAGAGCCCCACAGGACAGCGCTTGGCTGGAGTCTGGCTGCTTCTCTATTGCTCTTAGAGGTGGGGGGCGGGGGGGGGAGGGGACAGCCCTGGTTGGATTTCAAAGGCGCATGGATATGGCAGTGGAGAGGGGAGGCTGGGGGGGAACGGGGCCTGGGAATGGAAAGGAGACTCCTTCCAGGGCCTTAAGAAAGGAGGGAGATGTTGAGCCCATAGACACAGAACAGTGCCCACCTCTGACTTCCCAGTGCTCATCTCCACGGTGAACGCGCTGAGTGTGCGGCTGGGGAGCTATGTCCAGAACGTGTTCACGGCGACCAAGATGGTGATCGTGGTCATCATCATCATCAGTGGACTTGTCCTCCTGGCCCAAGGTGACCTTCGGCTGGAGGGGAGGGTGGGGCCACACGCCACAGACCACCTGGAGGTCTTGCTGCTAAGCATACATTTCACGCAGGAACTCAACAGAAATAGTTTCCCAGTTGTTCAGAGTTTGTTTAATAACCTCAGGTCACTAGTCATCCGCTTCCTTCACACAGTTCCAGTCTAGTCAGCTGATAACTATCTGGTTTGATTACAGGAAATACGAAGAATTTTGAAAACTCTTTTGAAGGCACATCATTGTCTATGGGCTCCATCAGTCTGGCATTATATAATGGACTCTGGGCGTATGATGGATGGTAAGGCACTCAGTCTAAGACAGCACACGTCTGCCTGTGGCTTTCTTTAGGCTATCTTCCTGAAACCACATGGAAAGCAATGACTTCTCCTTTTGGGGGTTTGATGGGACTCTAATATATACCTTCACATCTCCCTTTTGTTAAGTACCCTACCCTTCACACTTCTGTTCTCCTTGAACCCCAGAGGCACCTGCCCCTTTCCCAGCCACTTACCTGGCACCAGACCTCGACACAGTGGCCCATGAGCCCCCACTGGTGGGGCCTCATGCCAGAAACTTCACCAGACAAACAGGCTCAGCTGGACTGGAAGCAATGAGGGCCGCCAGGCATGGGACAAGGCAAGACTGTTCGATAGCACTTTTCTTTCCACTTTGCAAATACATGTGGTCATCCAGGACACTGGCCTTTCCCTTGCGCAGAGAATCTGCAGGCTTCATTTGCTTTTCAGACAATGAATCTTGCATTTTTTACAAAGCATGCTGGGGACTCATTACTCCCAATAATTGTTGAAAAGTTACAAAATTCCTACAGAGTACAGACTTACCAACTAAAGAATGTGCAGATCTTAGTAGCCCCACCACCACCAGGGCTTTCTTTAAAAGAGAAAGCCCTACAGGGGGAAAAAGATTCCTACAGGGGAATTTTCTCTATGATGTTGCTGTTGTACAATTGCTAAGTCATGTCTGACTCTTCGTGACCTCATGGACTGTAGCGCCCCAGGCTCCTCTGTCCTTCACTATATCCCAGAGTTTGCTTAAATTCATGCTCATTGAGTTAGTGATGTTACCTTACCCTCTTATCCTCTGCCACCCTCTTCTCCTTTTGCCCTCAGTCTTTCCCAGCATCAGGGTCTTTTCCAATGAGTCCGCTCTTCCCATCAGGTGCCCAAAGTATTGGAGCTTCAGCTTCAGCATCAGTACTTCCAATGAATATTCAGGGTTGGTTTCCTTGCTGTCCAAGGGACAGTCAAAAGTTTTCTCCAGTACCACAGTTTGAAAATATCAATTCTTCAGCACTCAGCCTTCTTTATGGTCCAACTCTCATATCCATACATGACTACTGGAAAAACTAATAGTCTGCTTTGACTATACAGACCTTTGTTGGCAAAGTGATATCTCTGCTTTTTAATATGCTGTCTAGGTTTGTCATAGCTTTCCTTCCAAGGAGCAAGCATCTTTGAATTTCGTGGCTGCAGTCACCATTCACAGTGATTTTGGAGCCCAAGAAAATAAAATCTACACTGTTTCCACTTTTTCCCCTTCTATTTGCCATGAAGCGATGGACCAGATACCAAGATCTTAGTTTTTTTAATGTTGAGTTTCAAGTCAGTTTTTTCACTTTCCTCTTTCACCCTCATCAAGAGGCTCTTTAGTTCTTCACCTTCTGCCATTAGAGTTGTATCATTTGCATATCGGAGGTCATTGATATTTCTCCTGGCAATCTTGATTCCAGTTTATGATTCACCCAGCCTGGCATTTTGCATGATGTACTCTGCATATAAGTTAAATAAGCAGGGTGACAATATACCAAAGGAGATTAAACCAGTCAATCCTAAAGGAAATCAACCCTGAGAAAGGATGGATACTGATGCTGAAGTTTCAATACTCTGGCTACCTACAGTGAAGAGTGGACTCACTGGAAAAGACCCTGATGCTAGGAAAGATTGAGGGCAAGAGGAGAAAGGGGCAACAGAGGATGAGATGGTTGGCTGTAATCACTGACTCAATGGACTTGAGTTTGAGTAGACTCTAGGAGATAGTGAAGAACAGGGAAGCCTGATGTGCTGCAGTTCATGGGATTGCAAAGAATCAGACATAACTTAGTGACTGAACAACAACTATACAGTCTTGATGTACTCCCTTCCCAATTTTGAACCAGTCTGTTGTTCCATGTCTGGTTCTAATTGTTGCTTCTTGACCAATATATAGGTTTCTCAGGAGACAGGTAAGGTGGTCTGGTACTTCTGTTTCTTTAAGAATTTTCCACATTTTTTTTTTGTGATCCATATAGTCAAAAGCTTTAGCATAGTCAATGAAGCAGAAATAGATGTTTTTTCTGGAATTTCCTTGCTTTCTCTTATGTTCCAGTAAATGTTGGCAATTTGATCCCTGGCAATTGCTAGCAATTACTAGCTCAAACTAATACAATTGTTGCTAGTGTGGTAGTTTGAACATTCTTTGACATTGCCCTTCTTTGGGATTGGAATGAAAACTGACCTTTTCCATTCCAGTGGCCACTGCTGAGTTTTCCCAATTCGCTGACATATTGAGTGCAGCACTTCAACAGTTTAAACGAGGCATACAGTTATTATTTTGTGTTTCATAATCTTAGCAAAAAAAGTCAGTTATGTTACTCATGTTACTTTTTTTCCCGGTAGGAATCAGCTCAACTACATCACAGAAGAACTTAGAAACCCTTCCAGGTAAGAAAGCTGAGTCAGAGCAGGAGACAGCGGACAGGTCAGCATGCTTCTCTCCCCCAAACATAAGGTGGAACTTCTTCCCCTAATCACCCACCACCCACTTCCAGACAGTGGATGGTTTCCTATCAGCTCACTGACATTCGTCAGACCTTGGTTTTGTTTGAGGTAGTAGAATGGTTGCTAAGAGGAAGGAAGAACTCTAATTTATTTTGCATTATGACCAAATTCAGTTTTACTGCCCTGGAGTCTAAGGAGAGGGAGAATTCTTTCTCATTAGAAAATGTCAATGTCCCCACTGGGACTCTGCTGTCCCTATAGTCCCCTGCTTCTTGGTGAGCATAAGGAAGCCTCGGGCAGGGCAGTTCCCCAGGGAGCAGGTAGAGGGCCAGCCGGGCAGGTGGAAGAAAGGACTAGACTAACACAACAATCTTGTGAGTCTGTCCTGGATGCCCTGGTCTGACTGGGTCTCTGGGTCCCCGCCCCTCCCAGAAACCTGCCCCTGGCCATCATCATCGGGATCTCACTGGTGACAGGCTGCTACATCCTCATGAACGTGTCCTACTTCACTGTGATGACCGCCACGGAGCTCCTGCACTCCCAGGCTGTGGCCGTGGTGAGTGCCCGGGTCTCTGGGGGAGCGGACAGGCAAGGGATAAACGCTCAAGCTGAAGGACCCTGTGTGTGTAGCCGGGGTGGAATAATCGTCTAGGACGCCAGACACGGGGAGATGGGTTAGCCCCAGAGACCCGACCTACGTTGCAGGTGGCCAGCACACCCTACCTGCCTTGCCAACACAGGGCGCAGGGCTCCACTTCACCAGGGTTGGGACTTTGACTGGCAAGTGTGGGGGAGAGCAAGATCAGGGGAGTCACTGAAGGAGGGAGTGATAATAACGGATTGTGGAATTCATCTGGGTGAGGAGGGAAGCAAGGACAGGGGGATGGGGATGACGGACAGGGGAAAGGTGGGCGGGGTCTATGTGCTGGAGAAGACCTGAGGAGTTGGGGCAGGACAGGAAATGAAGCTGAAAACAGGCAGTGAGGTGACATGGACAGGGGGCGGAGAGAGGCAGGCTTGGTGACCGGCCCACTGACCGTGAGACCAGGTCATTCCGAGGAAGGCAGAGCGAAGGCGTCAGAGGCTGTGGAAACACTGAGAATTATGGCAGGCAGCAGGGGAGAAGAGCTCTCCATCACCATCCGCAGAGGTGGGGTGCGGGGCGGGGGGCGGTCTTTTTCTCCAGACTGGTGCCCCACCGTTCCTCAGGGAGGCGTCCTGGAACCCAGCTCAGTGGGGCCGCTGGGAGGGCTCAGCAGCCTTTGGGGCCGGTGGCTCTTGGGGGCGCACGGTCTCAAGACGCACCCACTTCTCCCTCAGACGTTTGGTGACCGTGTCCTCTACCCCGCCTCGTGGATCGTTCCGCTCTTCGTGGCGTTTTCAACCATCGGCGCTGCTAACGGGTCGTGCTTCACTGCGGGCAGGTAGGGCCCAGCACGCGGGGCGGCGCCGGGGCCAGGCCCGAGTCCCCAGTGATGGAGCGGAAAGCATACCCGGGCGGGAGGGGGCACGTGGAGTGGGCGGGCACGTGGCGCTGGTCCCAGGGGTCCAGAGTGAGTGGGGACAGGGCCACCCGCCCCAGCGCAAGGCAGCCTTGGCGACCCGGGTGAGCGGTTTACTTATGGGACTTTTCACGGAATGAGCTTTCTTGAACATCTTTTCATGTTAACACACACACAGTCTAGATCAGGAATTGGTAAACTAAAGGGTAGATAGTGAAGAGTTTAGGCTTGCAGGCCATGTAAACCCATCCTGCTCTGTCTTTGCAGTAGGAAAGCCAACGGCTGTGTCTATGGTCCAGGAAAACTTTCTTTACATAACCAGGCACTTGGCCAGTCCCTGCCGGGCCTCTGGTCCCTACCTGGTCTAGAGACAGTTAGCTATGCTGGAATCCTCTTGACCAATGTAGCATAATTTCACATCACCTCCACTCATGGGCTGGGTTGGGGAGGTTTTCACAGACATTGGCAGGGAACATTCTGAGCATGTCTTTGTTCATCTCTCCAGCATTCTGGGCAGTATAGTCCTGAGAGTGAAATTGCCAAAGGTTATATACATATACACTTAAAAAAATGAAATCTATACCACAAAATCATTCCTTAGTGCTAGTCCTTTAAGACTTCTTCAAAAGTGTCTTGGTTGTTCTAGGTTCTATGCACTTCTATCCGAATTTTAGAATTACCCTACCAATTTCTACAAAAAAGCCTTAGGGACTTTGATTAGAACTTTACTGAATCTGTAGTTCAATTTGGAGAGGACTGCCAGCTTCAAAGTACTGATTCTTCTCATTTATGGGCATGGATTTATATCCCCATTTATTTAGGTCTTTTTTTTTTTTGGAGTGGCAGTTTTCAGTATATAATTCTTGCACATATTTTGTCAGATTTACCCTGAAATATTTCATATTTCTTCATGCTATTATAAATGGTATTTTTTAAAATGCAAAAAATTTGTTTCTGATTAGTCTGTTTCAGGTCCAACTCTTTTTGTTTGTTGTTCAGTCACTAAGTTGTGTCCGACTCTTTGCAATCCCATAGACTGCAGCACGTCAGGCTCCCCTGTCCTTCACCATCTCCTGGAATTTACTCAAATTTATGCCCACTGAGTCGATGATGCCATCCAACCATCTCATCCTCTGCCACCCCCTTCTCCTTTTGCCTTCAATCTTTCCTGGCATCAGAGTCCTTTTGAATGAGTCATCTCTTCACATCAGGTGGCCAAAGTATTGGAGCTTCAGCTTCAGTCCTTCCAATGAATATTCAGGGTTGATTTCCTTTAGGATTGACTGGTTTAATCCCTTTGCAGTCCAGTGAACTCACAAGAGTCTTCTCCAACACAGTTCAAAAACATCAGTTCTTCAGTGCTCAGCCACCTTTGTGGGCCAACATGTACATGACACTGGAAAAACTGTAGCTCTGACTATATGGACCTTTGTCAGAAAAGTGATGTCTGCTTTTTAATATGCTGTCTAGGTTTGTCATAGCTTTTTTTCCAAGGAGCAAGCATCTTTTAATTTCATAGCTTCCCTAGTGACTCAGTGGTAAAGAATCTGCCTGCAGTGCAGGAGACCCAAGTTCAATCCCTGGATCAGAAAGATCCCCTGGAGAAGGGAATGGCTACCCACTCTAGTATTCTTGCCTGGAGAATTCCACAGACAGAGGAGCCTAGTGGGCTATAGTCTATGGGGTCACAAGGAGTTGGACACGACTGAGCAACTAACAGACGCACATATAGTATTTCTATTTTTAGTTTTTTGAGGAAACTTCATACTGTTTTCCACAGTGGTTGCACCAATTTGCATTTCCACCAACAGTTGACAAGGGTTCCCTTTCCTCCACATGCCTGCCAACATTTGTTATTTATGGTCTTTTTGATGATAGCCATTCTGACAGATATGAGGTGATATCTCATTGTGGTTTTGATTTGATTTGCAATTCTCTGATGACTAGTGATATTAAGCATCATTTTATGTGTCTGTTGGCCATCTTTGTGTATTTTTCATAAAAATATTCAGTTCTTCTGCCCATTTTTAATTGGATTGTTTTTATGATATTGAGTTGTATAAGTTATATATAGTTGGGATATTAACCCCTTATTGGCCATATCATTTGCAAATATTTTCTCCCATTCAGTGGGTTGTCTTTTTGTCAGTGGATTCCTTTGCTGTGAAAAAGCTTTTAAAGTTAGTTAGTTCTCATTCATTTACTTTTGCTTTTATTTCCTTTTCTTTAGGGGACAGGTCCAAAAAGATATTGCTACAATTCATGTCAGAGAGTATCCTGCCTATGTTTTCTTCTAGTTTTGTGGTTTTGGGTCTTATATGTAGGTCTTTAATCCATTTTGAGTCTATTTTTGAATATGATATGACCAAATGTTCTAATTTCATTCTTTTGCATGTAGCTGTCCAGTTTTCCCAGCACCACTAGTTGAGGAGACTGTCTTTTCACCATTGCATTATTTTTGCCTCCTTTGTTGTAGATTAGTTGACCACAAGTATGTGGATTTGTTTCTGGGCTCTCTGTTCTGGTCCATTGATCTGTGTGTTTGTGTCTGTTTTTCTGCCAGTACCTTACTGTTTTGATAACTGTAGCTTTGTAGTCTAAAGTCAGGGAGTGTGATATTTCCAGCTCTATTCTTCTTTTTAAAGATGTTTTGGTTATTTGGTGCCTTTTGTGTTTCCATACAAAATTTAAAATGATTTGTTCTAGTTCTGTGAAAAATGCCTTTGGCATTTTGATAGGGATTGCACTGAATCTGTACATTGCCTTGGGTAGTATGGTCATTTTAACAATGGTATATATTTCCATCTGTTAATGTTACATTCAATTTCTTTCATCTATGTGCTATAGTTTTCTGAGTGTAGGTCTTCTATTAATAGTTCCTTAGGTAAGTTTATCCCTAGGTATGTTTTTCTTTACATAATTGTAAATGCTGCTGTTTCCTTAACTTCTGACACTTGTCAGTGTATAGAAATGCAACAAATTTCTGTATATTAATTTTGTGTATGCATGCTAAACCACTTTAGTCATGTCTGACTCTGTGTGACCCTGTGGACTGCAACCCACTAGGCTCCCCTGTCCATGGATTCTCCAAGTAAGAATACTGGAGTGGGTTGACATTTCCTTAAATTCTCTGACAGTTATTAGTATTTGGAAATGCAACAGTTTTCTGTATATTAATTTTGTACCCTGTAACTTTACCAAATTCATTGATGAGCTCTAGTAGGTTTGTTTTTTTTTTTTTGTAGTGTATTTAGGATTTTCTCTGTATAGGATTGTGTTGTCTGCAAAGACAGTTTTACTTCCTTTCCAGTTTGGATTCCTTGTATTTTTTTTTCTTTTTTTTTTTGGTTTGAGTATGTCACTCATACTTCCAATACTATGTTGAATAAAAGTGGCAAGATTGGGCATCCTTGTCTTGTTCCTGATCTTAGACGAAATGTTTTCAGCTTTTCATCATTGAGTATAACATTAGCTGTGGGCTTATCATGTATGGCCTTTAGTATGTTATGTTCCCTCTATACCCACTGGAGAGTTTTTGTCATAAGTGAATACCGAATTTTGTCAAAAGCCTTTCTGCATCTCTTGAGATAATCATGTGATTTTTATTCTTCAATTTGTTAATGTGATGTATTCCACTGATTGACCTACAGATACTGAACCATCCTTGCATCCCTGGGAAAAATCTCACCACTCGATCATGGTGTATGATATTTTTAAACATTTGCTGAATTCAGTTTGCTTATATTTTCAGGATTTTTGCATCTATTTTCTTTTTTTAAAATTATGTATTTATTAATTTCCATGATTTTATAAAATAGTTTTTCCCCCTCTGGTCATTTTAAACTATTTTTATTTTTTTAATTTTTTTTTCATTTATTTTTATTAATTGAAAGCTAATTACTATACAATATTGTAGTGGTTTTTGCCATACATTGACATGAATCAGCCATGGATTTACATGTGTTCCCCATCCCGATCCCCACTCCCACCTCCCTCTCCATCCCATCCCTCTGGGTCTTCCCAGTGCACAAGCCCTGAGCACTTGTCTCATGCATCCAACCTGGGCTGGTGATCTGTTTCACCCTTGATAGTATACTTGTTTCAATGCTATTCTCTCAGAACATCCCACCCTCGCCTTCTCCCACAGAGTCCAAAAGTCTGTTCTGTACATCTGTGTCTCTTTTTCTGTTTTGCATATAGGGTTATCGTTACCATCTTTTTAAATTCCATATATATGTGTTAGTATACTGTATTGGTCTTTATCTTTCTGGCTTACTTCACTCTGTATAATGGGCTCCAGTTTCATCCATCTCATTAGAACTGATTCAAATGAATTCTCTTTAATGGCTGAGTAATATTCCATTGTGTATTTTGCATCTATTTTCAACAGTTATATTGGCCTGTAATTTTCTTTTTTGTGTGGTATCTTTGTCTGGTTTTGGTATAAAGGTAATGCTGGTCTCACAAAATGAGTTCAGAAGCATTTCCTCTGCATTTTTTGGAATTGTTTGAGAACAATAGGTGTTATCTTTTCTCTACATATTTGGTAGAATTCACCTGTGAAGCCATCTGGACCCAGACTTTTCTCTTTTGGGAGTTTTCAAATTACTGACTCAATTTCACTACTGGGGATTGGTCTATTCATATTTTCTGTTTCTTCCTGATTCAGTTTTGAGAAATTACATTTCTAGGAATTTGTTGATTTTTAATTGGTTGACCATTTTATTGGCATATCATTGTTCACAGTAATTTCTTGTGACCCTTTGTGTATCTATGGTTTTGCTTATCTTTCCCCTTTTCAGTTCTGATGATATTGATTTGGGCCCTCTTTTTTTCTTGATGTTTCTTGATTTTATTTTTGAGTCAGCTTTTAGTTTCATTGATCTTTTCTATTTTCTATATTTATCATTTATTTCCTTCTACTAACTTTGGATTTTGTTTGTTCTTTTTCTTGTTCTTTTAGGTATAAGATTAAGTCATCTTATTGATGACTAAAGAATCTTATTTCCTGAGGTAGGATTTTATCACTGTAAACTCCCCTCTTAGAACTGCTTTTTCTATTTCCAGTAGATTTTGGTTCATTGTGTTTTCATTTTTGTTTGTCTCCAGGTACTTTTTGATTTCCTCTTTGATTTCTTTAGTGATCCATTGGTTATTTAGTAGCATATTGTTTAGCTTCCACATATTTGTGCTTTTTACAGTTTTTCTTTTTGTAGTTGATTCCTCTCATAGCATTGTGGCCAAAAAAGATGCTATGATTTCAGCTTTCATAAATTTACCAAGGCTTGTTTTGTGGCCTAGCATGTGATCTCTCCTAAAGGGTGTTTTATGTGTACTTAAAAAGAATGTGTATTGTGCTGTTTGGGGATGGAATGTTCTATATATACTAAGTCCATCTGGTGTAATAAGTCATTTAAGACCAGCATTTGCTTATTGATTTTCTGTCTGATCTGTCCATTTATATAAGTGGGGGTGTTAAAGCCCCTTCCTATCATTGTGTTACTTTTATTTTCTCCTTTACATGTTAATATTTGTTTTATATATTTAGGTGCTCCTATGTTGAGAGCACATATTATATTTACCATCATTATATCTTCTTGGATTGATCCCTTGATTGTTATGTAATGCCCATCTCTTGTAAGTCTTTAAACTCTATTCTGCCTGATATAAGTATTGCTACCCAGGTTTTGGTTTGATTTCCATGGAATAACTTTTTCTATTCACTCACTTTCAATCTATGTGTATCTTCAGATCTGAAGTCAATCTCCTGCAGGCAGCATATATACAGCTCTTATTTTTATATCCACTCATATATCCATCCATTTTATATCCACTCTATGTCTTTTGAGCATTTAGCCCACTTACAGTTAAAGTAATTACATAAATGTATGTTCTTATCACCATTTTGTTATTTGAGGTTGTTTTAATAGGTCTTTTTTGTTCCTCTCTTGTGATTAGATGGTAATCTTTCATGTTATGTTTCAATTCCTTTTTATTTTTGAATCTATTATAGTTTTGGTTTGAGTTATGTGAAGTTTATATATAACGAAGTATACACACACACACACACACACACACACACAACATGACCGCTTTAAGTTGCTGATCTAATTTCAAATGCATTGAACAACCCCGCCTTTGTATTGTCCTCCACTTATGAGTACTGCTTTTGACATGTTTTACTGCATCTAATTGTTTTGTGTATTTAACTACTTGTTGTGATATATAGATGACTTTTTACCTTCTTTTAACCTTCCTACTAGCTTTGTATGTGGTTAATTTTCTACCTTTACTGTTTATTTGCAAGGGCTCCTGTTTTTTTATATCTTTTTGGTAGATTATTTCCTTTTTCAGTAGGAATGCTCTTTTTGCCTTAAATTCTAATCTGATATTGATATTGCTGAATCAGCTGTCTTTCAGACTGCTACTTTTAGTCACATGTCTAACCCCTTTTATTGTCTACCTCTCAGTGATATGGGTTCTGGCTTGTGTCTCTTTCAACAAACCCAACCTGACAGTCTCCAGCTAAGCAGGTGGAATTTGATTACATTGGATATGATTACTGCTACAGATAGATTAATTCCTAGCATATTCCTTTGTGTTTTCTTGGCTTAAAAAATCTTACCCTCATTTATTAACCATGAAATGTTTTTATTCCTTTTCTTTTCTTGTACTGATGCAGATGGAAGTTATATTTCTATTCTTTTAGTAATCCCCTTTAAAATTTAACATGAATACCTACTACAGTCTATCAGTATCTCAGTTTTCTTTCCGCTCTTGCAAGGGCTTTCCCTTTCACATCATCTAGTATATCAGCCACACCGTGCTCGTGAAGTAAACCAATCCTCCAAAAAAAGCCTATCATGACAAAAATAAAAAATCCAATACTTACATATATACAAAACATGTTTTACTGCTGTCTCCTTAACATTACTTCTTCAATAAACTTAGTTCAATGTCCTCTTTTGTTGGAGTAGACTTTTTAATAGTTTCCAACAAGGACTGAAGAAAAGTAAATGTCTCATAGCTATTGTTTATCTAAACATTTATTTTGCCAGTAGTCTTGAATGATGATTTAGCTATGCAGAATTCTAATCTGAAAATCTAATCAATTTCCCTCATCACTTTCAAAGTGTTATTTCTCATGAGATGGCTGTTGTTCTGACCGTCCTAATTTTGTAGTTAATCTTTTAAATTCCGTAGCTTAAAGTTTTTCCCTTCCACTATAATGTTTATATCTGGCTATGTTTTATTTCCTGAACTGGGTTCAGTCTGAAGGCTCAGAATGTTTTGATTGTGTAAAGGCTCTCTGTTCCTCTTTGTTGTTTTTTAAGATTTATTTATTTGGTTGTACTGGGTCTTAGTTGCAGCATGTAGCATCTTTAGTTGTTGCATGTGAACTCACTTGCAGCATGTTAACTCTTAGTTGCAGCATCCAGGATCTTTAATTGCAGCATGCAAACTCTTAGTTGCAGCATGTGGGATCTAGTTCCCAGACCAGGAATCAAACACAGGTCCTCTGCATTGGGAGCACAGAGTCTTAGCCATTGGACCAGACCACCAGGGAAGTCCCTTTCTGCTCTTCTTTGAATTTCCTTATCCCATTCAATATATTCAAGCTTCTTCCTGTGTTTCTTTCTTAATTTCCTGGCTGTATTTTCTATTTCTCTATGCTTCATATTCAGTCTCAGTTCAGTTCAGTCACTTAGTTGTGTTTAACTCTTTGCAACCCCATGGACTGCAGCAAGCCAGGCTTCCCTGTCCATTAACAACTCCTAGAGCTTGCTCCAACTCACGTCCATTGAGTCAGTGATGCTCTCCAACCATCTCATCCTCTGTCGTCCCCTTCTCCTCCTGCCTTCAATCTTTCCCAGCATCAGGGTCTTTTCCATTGAGTCAGTTCTTCACATCAGGTGACTAAAGTGTTGGAGCTTCAGCTTACTGACCAAACTGATCACATGGACCACAGCTTTGTCTAACTGGACGAAAGTATGAGCCATGCTGTGTAGGGCCACCCAAGATAGATGGGTCATAATGGAGAGTTCTGACAAAATGTGGTCCTCTGGAGAGGGGAATAGCAAACCACTTCATTATTCTTGCCTTGAGAACCCTATGAACAGTATGAAAAAGCAGGTCTGGAGCTCATGTTTTTAATAAAAAGCTTGGTATTCTGCCTCTTCCCCTCCCCCCCACTTCAAAGACATTAAAAATGACAAAAATGAGATGAATGAATGAAAAAAGAGTGTCCACACAGTGTTCCACTGTGGGAGCCAACAGGGTCCCTTGACAGGGTCCGGAGCTGGAAAGCCCCCCCGCCACCCCCGGCTGGCCTCTTGTCTCCTGGCTGGCCTCTGCGGGTTAGGATTTTCAGTGGCAGAGGCCAAGTCACCTCACATTCGTGAGCTTGGTACTCCTGCTTCTGACTTCCCGACTCTTTCCCGTCATCAGCAGCTGTCTCGGCACCTCAGACCTCAGGGAAGAGGTGGGGAGTGGAGAACCTTGCCAGAAACCCTCCTGGGGACTCCATGACAGGCTGACGGTGAGGTGCCAGGAATACCCTGAAACAGCTAAAAGCCTATGTTGTTGTAGTTTAAAATTTTTTATTAGGGAAATACATGCATAAAGACAACTATCACTACAGAGTGTATAACCCAATCCCTCAGTCTCCAGTCCGATGTCCCTATCTGACCTGGAAACACAGTCTTCTGTTCGGGAAATATTTGTTTTATTTTTTTGAGAAATTCTTATCTTCTTAAATGAGTAAATGCTACTTTTGAATAAAATCTCATAAACAGAAATATATTAAAAAAGATCNGATGATCCAGCGGATGTTGGCAATTTGATCTCTGGTTCCTCTGCCTTTTCTAAAATCAGCTTGAACATCTGGAAGTTCACGGTTCACGTACTGTTGAAGCCTGGCTTGGAAAATTTCGAGCATTTCTTTACTAGCATGTGAGATGTGTGCAATTGTGCAGTAGTTTGAGCATTCTTTGCCATTACCTTTCTTTGGGATTGGAATGAAAACTGAACTTTTCATTGAGTCTTGAGGGCACTGCTGAGTTTTCCAAATTTGCTGGCATACTGAATGCAGCATTTTCACAGCATCATCTTTTAGGATTTGAAATATCTAAACTGGAATTCTATCACCTCCACTAGCTTTGTTCGTAGTGATGGTTTCTAAGGTCCACTTGACTTCACATTCTAGGATGTCTGGCTTTAGGTGAGTGATCATACCATCATGATTATCTGGGTCATGAACATCTTTTTAAGTAGTTCTTCTGTGTATTCTTGCCACCTCTTCTTAATATCTTCTGCTTCTGTTAGGTCCATACCATTTCTGTCCTTTATTGTGCCCATCTTTGCATGAAATTTTCCCTTAGTATCTCTAATTTTCTTGAAGAAATCTCTGGAGAAGGGAACAGCAAATCACTTCAGTATTCTGGCCTTGAGAACCCCATGAACAGTGTGAAAAGGCATTCCTCTAAGATGCATTTAATCAGCTTACTTGTGCAAAACTCACTTATTCCAGAGACTGGACTCCTATCTGAAAATACCAGGGTCATAACTCAGTCCTTTTCTCTGTGGCCTCAGTAGTGAGATTAGGACACACTTGCTCTGTGATCATACTGTAACCTATACTCTTTCATCAACTGACTTCCTTATTATTGCCCTTTCAGACTTGTTTTTGTTGCAGGCCGGGAAGGCCACATGCTAAAAGTGCTGTCTTACATTAGTGTCAAGCGCCTCACTCCAGCTCCTGCCATCATCTTTCATGTAAGTATGAATTCTCCCATGAAAACACCCTCTTAAGGCAGAGGGTCCCTCAGTCTGGATGATAAAGTATAAACTTGATCACTAAGTTCAGTTATTTTCAAATGACCCAGGTTCCCCAGTCCTCAGGTATATAAAAAAGTTCAAAACAATTAAAATAATTTACCCAATTTCTGCCTCTTGTTCTAAATTTATCTATGAAAGATACGGTTTGAATCTTCCAAGCTTGTACCCTCTACATGTCTTACATGCACATTTGTGTGCTTTGGGTCCCTGGTAACAAACTGTACAAAACCCCACTAGCTTATGGGGAAGGAGAATAAGGCGTTTTACGAGGTGGCTAATGACAACAGCTTCTCATTGTGGTCCAATAATTCATAAGTCAAGGGATGCTTGTGAACTAAAGGCCCTTTGACATTTTCTGATTGGAATTTCTCAGTGAGGGGTAGTCCTTGGTTGTATGTAACTATTATGGGCAACTCTGGACCATCCACATCCTAGCTTAAGGGCCAGAATCTTCCTCCCACCCCGAGGAGAGCCCCTGTTCTCTGTCAACCTACTCCCTCTGGAGATGAGAAAACAGATCCAGAATTACAGGGATTACAAGTCCAGGATAGTGCAGTAAATGCAGTCAATACCAGACCTAGACAGCCTGGGTTTTCTAGTGCAGGCTTCTTTCCCCCAGTGAAAACTCTCTGCCGGGAAAATTAATAATTAGGAAGCTGATGTGATATACATTTTGTTTTTCTCCTGTTTAAAAGAGCTACCTATCTTCCAAGCCCTTTCCATCACACCTCAAAGAAAAGAGCTATAATTTCACCAGTCTGGCTTGACCTCAAATATAATGGGATAAACAAAAGTTTTCTTTCACATTAAGGCTTTTATCCACTGCTTCTTTTGTCTTTTGTGAAGTCATAAGGATAATGTTTTCATGTACTGATGACCTAAGAATTCATTCTTCTTTCTTCTAGAGCATGATAGCGATCATTTACATCATCCCTGGTGACATAAACTCTTTAGTCAATTACTTCAGTTTTGCTGCATGGCTGTTTTATGGTTTGACGATCACTGGACTAATTGTGATGAGGTTTACAAGGAAAGAACTGAAAAGACCTATCAAGGTAGGTTTAGTTCCCCAAATGTCACAAGTGGCTTTGTTTTCCTGAAGTGAGCTAGACACAGGTAACTAATTTATTCATTTAGATGTAACTATTTTAAGTTCTAGGAGCGTGCTTTCTATTTTCAACCTTTTCTCCTGAATGTCATACTTAAGAGTGGAGTTTCCTCTTCATCTCATATAAATTATGGTCCAGTCAGCCATATCATTATTAATTTATTAACGTTATCAGCAATACCTGTGACCTGTCTAAGCAAAGGGAGAGTTCCAGTTCTGGCAGTTGCAGGATCTCTCAAGCATACACTTTTTGTCTACTGATGGGGACTTCTGACTCAGACCCAGACCTGCTCCTGTGCATGCAGCCACCTACAGTCCACTTCTGCAATCTGTCTTAGGCTCCTTCCCACCTGCCTCCATGGCTGCTGTGGGTCCATATATCGGTGGGGAAGGAGAATGTATTGTGTTTTGCTTATGTTACGGGCTTTTCTTTTAAACCTATGGCATATATTCTTTGGAGAAGGAAATGGCAACCCACTCCAGTATTCTTGCCTGGAGAATCCCATGGACAGAGGAGCCTGGAGGGCTATAGTCCATAGGGTCGCAAAGAGTTGGACATGACTGAAGCGACTTAGCACATATATTCCTATGATAACAAGCACAGATTTAAGAAAAAGGTAGGCAAGAAGAGGGCTTCAGAAACTATATAGCAAGAATAAAAATAGTGTCTTTAGCTTTGGAATTCTGTTTCAGAAATCTGGTTAAAAGTCTTTCTGGCACGGTAGCTTGACAGTTACCCAGTTGCTAAAGTCAGCAGAGTGGCCTGCTGCGATCAGGCAGTTCCCCTCAATCAGGAAATCAAGCATGTAAAATCATGATGGTAGCACAGATTTGTAATCTGCACAAAACCTCTCAAACAGACATAAAAAGGATTTGAGGAAAAATAAGGAGACAGGAAAGAAAATGAGAGAGATCATCATATGTGTAACTGGAGTTGCTGAAGAAGAAAATGCAAGTAATAGAATTCTTAAAAGCTGTGATTTAAGAAACATTTCCTGAATTTGGAAGGAAAGGAGGAGAGGGGACCTTAAGAGGAGGCAGGGACTTGAATCAACACACTGAAAGGCATACAGTATAACTGGGGTATCCTAACTAGAGTGGGCAACAATAAATACATTCTGATAAAACTATGGAGTTTTTTTTTTTTTTAAAAACACTTTGGGTATATCACACCCTCTTTCTTGTCCTCTTCCACCCCAATTCACTTATAAAGAAAAAGAAATATACAAGCATTAGAGTTCTTACCAGCTACACTTTATGCCATAAGACAGTGGGCAACTTATTTAAGATATTCACGGAAGGAAAATATAAGTCAAACATTTTATATCTACTCAAACTGACCTTGAAGAATAAAGTTACCAATGAGAAAACTCAAAGCATACATTGTTATATGAGACCTTCCTTCCTTTGGCATCACTAGAGAATGAGCTTTAGAAACCAAAAAGTCATGGGCATAAGGTGAATATATTTAAGAACTAAGACTTAACGACAGGAGATAAGGATAGCAAAACAGTATGTAATTATTAAGCACCGACAACATAATATAACAAAAGTGGACGAGAAAGCATAGGAAAGTATTCAAGTTAAGGGAAGTGTGTCAGAGAAACTGCTTTAGGATACCATTTGAAATTAGATGCTGGGGAAAAAAAAATAATAATAAATAAAATGAACTGACACAACAACAAAAAAGAAATTAGATGCTGGATGGGGGAGAAGAAAGCTTCATTACTGCTTATTATGAACAAAAAAAGGGGAGATAGAGGTATTATATTATAATGCTATATAATAATAATAACATTATTATTATTACCTATTTATAATGGTAATGCTCAGAAAGGGCTTCCCTGGTGGCTCAGTCGATAAAGAATCTGCCTGCAATGTGGGAGACCTGGGTTTGATCCCTAGGTTGAGAAGCAAGAAAAATAGTGTTTATAGATAAATATATCCAACACACACACACACACATACCCATGAAACAACATCATGAAAGAACCTATATATAAAGACTCAAACAGGGGAACAAATCAGAATATCTTCCTGGTTGACATTTTCTCAGTAAAATGCTTATTAGGGTTTTTTGTTGTTACTGTTGTTTTTTTTGCTTATTAGTTTTTTAACATTCCCAAACTTTACAGAATCTATGAATCTCTTAATAGTCTTATGTCTAACTGATAGTTATATGGGAAAAAATGAGTATTTAAATTTCCAAAGCCCGCTATAGTATTTCTAATACATGTGTGTGAAAAGTTTCAAATGACATTCCAAACCTGACACAAGTTACCTTCATGTGTAGGTGTATTGAAAAGCGTGAAAAAGCATGTGTATCTCAGACATTGGGAAACATGTTATTGCATTAAAGGTAACCATTTACTAACAGTCATGCTAATTGGTGCCCAGGAAATCATTTTTTAAAGCAGCTAACTTCTAGGTATAACACGTTTGTTGTTGCTTAGTCACTAACTCATGTCTGACTGTGGCCTCATGGATTGCAGCCTGCCAGGCTTCTCCACCCACGTCATCTTCCAGGCGAGAATATTGGAATGAGTTGCCATTTCCTTCTCTCCAGGGGATCTTGCAGACCCAGAGACTGCACCCTTGTCTCCTGCATTGCGGGTGGATTCTTTACCACTGAGCCACCAGGGAAGCCCATAACACATGTTGGATATATATATGCATTGACTGTCTTTTAGTTACATCTGAAAACTCTACCTAGAAGTTTGGGATTTCACCTGATACATGGTAATTTTCCCACTTTAACAATAAAGGAAGTAGAGCCTCTGGTGAGAACACAGAATATCACTCTTCAAAGAGCAGGAAACTGACAGTTAAGTAGAAGGTACTTTATATAGCCACGTGAAACAATATGAAGACCAAACTTACCAGCTGTATGAATAAACTGGCTTATTCAGCTTAAATAGTTTAAATTGCTCATTAAAAGAAAAAAATAATTTTTAGGCAGGTTTACAAAGTGGTGAAAGATTAAACGGATAGGCAAAGAAAAACCAAGCAAATGAAAATACGTAGAAAACAGGGGCTGTGATCTTATCAGACAAGCACTCAGACCCAGAACACAAGACAAAGACCACTTAGTAATAATGGCTAAAGAGATAAGAGTTATGAAAACCTATTTACCACACCACGTAATTACTTTACGAAATAAAACTACAGGAAACACAAGGAGAAACAGACACACACAAATAGAAGACTTTAAAACATCTGCCTCAGAGCAGGATAGATCCAGGCACATCACTAGTAAAAGTGACCGAAGATCTAAAACAATATAACAGGTACATTTTAGAGATTCCTATCAAATTCTGAGTCCCCCAAACAGCAGTCACACCTTTTCAGGTAAAGAGGGGACAGGTCTGAATCTGTAATGCCACCAAGAAAAACTCCGATTAAAAAGTCAGAAATGATACAGAGCATATTCTCTGTCTATAATGCAATAAAACAGGAAATCAATTTTAAAAATTAACATCTTTTTCGGTCCAAATGGAGACAGGAAATCAAAGTGCATAAACTGCTAAAAATAACAATAATGAAAACAAGACATATAATCTATGATCAGTGCTTTAAGGAAGTTCTGCTATATTACTTACATCAACAAAAAACAAATTAAATAGACAACTCAAAAAGCAAGAGAAAAATCAACAAAGAAAACCAAAAGAATGTAGAAGGAATCAGTAAAGCTAAAGAAAGAACTTAAGATGCTTAACTGGATTATTTTTTAGAATTTCACCATGAACTCAGATTCTGCTGGGGTTAGTTTTAGTAAGCTGTATTTTCCTAGAAAACTGTCCATTTCATGTAGGTGTTTGAATTTATTTGTATACAGCTATACAAAATAGTTTGATTTTTTAAAAAAAAATTTCCTATGTTCCTGAGATTATTTCTCCATTTTTGTTTATCTGTGTATTTATGCTGTTTTTTTTTTTTTTCCAGGTAAGCTACAGGTTGTTTTACTGATTTTTCAAATTATTTTTATGGACTGTAACAGTAATACCAAACCTTGCAAAGACAGCACAGAAAAATCACAGACCAATCTCACTTTTGAATATTGATAGAAAAATCATAAAATAATTTAATAGAATCCAATTATCTTAAAAACATACCACGACTAAGTCAAGTCTGTACGAGCGTGGCTAAAGATTAGAATGAACTGGATTTAATTCATGGAGGATGTAATTCATTATATTAATATACCTACGGTGAATACCCCTATGATCACCTCCCACAGATGCCAAAAACCACCAGATAAAATTCAACGTACATCACTGATAGAAACACAAATAGAAATGCAATATCTTTTCCTTGGTATGATCACACTTACAAACATACCTTATGGCAAAAAGCAATCTTAGTTCTGTTCTGAAGACAGCAGCCAGGCAATTACATAAGAGAAAGCAATTTGGAGCGTAAGGTTTAGAGAAGATTTTTGAAAGTCTTTCTCCTTTCAAAGAAAATAAAAAAAACTGTACACCTGGAAAACCCAAAAGGATCAAAGAAAAAATTACAAGAAAATATAGTAAAGTAATAAGACATAAAATTAAGACACTGAAATCAATAGCCTTTATTTATAAAAATGATGTGCAAAAATAAAAGAAAATGAAAGACAACACCTCATCTTCCCCCCACTCTGTCCAAAACAAAAACCTAGCCATAAACTTTAACAAGAGGTTAGACTTCTCAGTGGAAAAGTAAAATTCTCCTGCAAGACAAAAAAAGTAACTTGAACAAATGGAAATTCATCATCATCTTGGATAGGGAAACTCAGCATCCTTCATTTAGACATTTCATGTAACTACAATAAAAAAACAGCATCTAATTTTTTCTCTGGAGTTAGACGAGCTGATTATACAGTTCATATTGAAGAACAAACTATTAATAGCAAAAATGGCCAGGGAAAACCTGGCCATTAAATATTAAATTTAAATATTAAAATATAGATTCTAAAATTTAAATATCACAGTACTGATGCATGAAGAAAACATAAACTGTTTTGTAATCCAAGAATGGAGAAAATCTTTCCAGTAACTCAAAAATCAAGAAGTAATTTTTTAAAAAGGGCAACCATATCTCCTGGCCAAAATAAAAATGCATGCATTCAAATGAGGAGAAGAAAATTGAAAGCACATATATATAATATTAGGGGAAATATCTGCAATAATATCACACACACACAAAAGGGTAACAGCCCTCATTTAAAGAGTTCCTAAAATTGAGATGGGAGTTACTAACAACTGAAATGGACAAAAGATATAAATGGACACAATTCACAAAAGACAGTTCAATGAGAAAAATGCAGTGACACTTAAACATCAAACAAATGGACCCCAGCACACTGTTTTGTTCCTAACAAGAGACAGACGCCAGAATTCTAACGAGCTACCATTTCTTGCTTGTAAGATGGGGCAGAAATCCTAGAGTCTGGCCACACCCCATGGAGGTGGCCATGGGGAAACAGCCTTTTCCAACACTGCTAGTGGAATTCAAATGATATAGCTACTATGACGGAAACCTGGCCATATCCAGCAAAATTACATATGCATTTACCTTGTGACCCAGTCATCTTGTTCTGAGGTAATCCATCCCAAAGTGAAGTTGACAAAAAATATGAAACATACCCAAGGTCATTTATTGCAGCATTAACTCTAAAAGCAAAAGACTCAACACAAACCAAATGTCAATTAGTGGAAGACTAGCTGAATAAGTTTGGAACATCCACCAAGTAGAGTGGTATGCAGCAGTAAAATGGATAAGTAATTTTATACAACACTGCTATCTCTGAAGTATATTAATGGAAAAAAACAAGGTGTAACACTGTGTTTTATGTATTTGCTACCTTTCATGTAAACGTAGTGGAAGATGGACAGGTGTATGCATGTTTGTGCATATACATGTGCTTATTCTCAAAAAGAAATACTGGAAGAATAAAGCAAACTCAAGAAAAAATTTATAATATAAAAAAATTAAACACTGAAAAGGGAAAGAGCAAATCCCTGAAAACTCCAAACAAATGGAGATAAAAAAATATTACTCTATAAAAAGTAGATGACATAACCACACAGAGCATAATTACCAGAACTTATACTAAAGTGCATGACTTTTAATTGCATTTCCCTTGTGGCTTATACTCTTCTGTTAAAAAGAACTACAAAAAAAGTCAAACTTCATGCTACTTACAGTGGTAGTACTGGTATAGGGAAGCCTGGCATGCTGCAGTCCATGGGGTTGCAAAGAGTCAGACACGACTGAGCAACTGAACTGAACTGAATTGGTATAGTTATTTTATTATAAGCACATTATAAGATAAAGAAAATAAGTAATCATGTGAAAGCCATTATAAAGATTTTTAAAAAGAAGCATTAGGAAAGAAAATGTAAGTCTAGAGTAAAATAAGGAAAAAAGCGCAACCTTAAATTTGAATCAAAACTATTAGAATCATTTGTGCAATGTTTTCCCCTTCTTGAAAAAAAATAATTTTTTTCTGTCCTGGTGAAAGAACACTGAATATTCCATCCACCCAGATGATGGTTTCTAAGTGTCCATTTCCTACCGAAAAGAAACAGCTTCCTGGAGAAATGGGTGAATCCAGATCTGCTAGGACTGGATGTCTCTCGAGCCCCTGAGCTCACTGATTGACTTCAGGGATTCGAAAGTGTGGCAGTCAGACCTTAAGTGCTTCCTGAGGTGGTGAAAGGAAGTGCACGGCTCCACCACAAAGGGCTCTGGCCTCCAGGTCTAACCACCCGTTTAGAGCAAACGAGAGGGACAGAGGAGCAAGTTATCAGCAGAGCCAGATAAAGACAGTGTAGGACACACCATCCAATTCCGACAACAAATTAATTTGAGACAGAGCAAGGAGGGAACCAACATGTTAAAATCGAAGTCCTTGTCAGTTAGAAATGTGTGATGTGTATTTTACAGGTAAAACGATGTGAGGGCGTTTTCTTTATAATCTAGGAAAAAGAAAAAGAACAGGTGAAATAAGGTCAGCAAATTTACTTACAAGCGATTGAAATAGTACATTCTTCTTTCTCTATCAAGGGTGTGAAGAATTTCAAAAGGGAAACAAATGCACACGGCCAAGTGACTCCTTGTTGTTTTGCCTGCAGGTGCCCATTTTCATCCCCATCTTGGTGACTCTCTTATCCGTGTTTTTGGTTCTGGCTCCGATCATCAGCAAACCTGCGTGGGAGTATCTCTACTGTGTGTTGTTTATGCTGAGCGGCCTTGTATTTTATTTCCTTTTTGTCCACTACAAGTTTAGATGGGCTCAGAAAATCTCAAGTAAGTATCAAGCAGGGGACCGTGTGCTGTTAGTGAAGCCAGGCAGGCCCAGCACCCCGCAGCCTCATCTGTCCCGATGCTACCAGGGCTTTCTTGTCACGGGTCTCACACAGCTAACAAATTTCACCTCCTCTTTGGCAGGACACGTGACCTGTTCCCCTCAGGGTGACACCCCTGGGGTCCACCTGTGGCCTCTATTATTTCCCAAGGACTTTGCTCCTTTCTTGAAAGAGCTCCTCCTGCCTCCAACCTCTTTACGCTGACCTAAGCCTAGAGCTGAGGGGTTGCTGGTACTCTACTACAAAAACGAAAGAAACGGTTCATAACTATCAGAAAACCAGCCACATTTGCCTGTGCCTCTGAAAGTGGACTTGCATTTGATTATATTGACAGAGAATCTAGCCAGGATAACTTACAACCTAAAGGCTCCACCCAAATACGCCTTATTTCTCCGCTTTGTAGTGGTTAGCCAAGCTGTTCCCCACAAAAACTGTTAAGTTAGAATTAAGGAAGTAGAGAGAATGAACCACCTGTATGTTAAAGGAAATGCCGACTAAGTGACTTCAGACTACACAGTCAGCCTTGGTCAGCGGTAGTTAAATATACACATATAACTGAGTCATTCATGTTTTTCCTATAAGTGGTTTGGTGGCAGTAAAATATTTAGCAGGTTCCTAATGCTTTCATGGGAAATAACTTATCTCCAAAGAACCACCACAGCTCCCAGGATGGGTCTGCCCATCTCTAGCTACCTGTATCCTCCGAGCACAGGCTCTAACAGGAGACACATCACCAAGGAGTAACAGTATCACTGCTCACCAGTAAGTGGGATGAAGCTGATTTTTATTGACGCTTTTCTAACTGCACTTCCCCCCCAGAGCCTCTCACCATGCACCTTCAGATGCTGATGGAAGTCGTGCCCCCAGAGGAAGCTCCAGAGTAACAAGCTCTGCCTCTTGTGCCAAATCCAAGCTGTGATGAACTTATTTTTGTAAACAATATTTGTGGTTATTTCTTCCTGATGTTTTTCTTAAGAAACAAACAAACATATTCACACGTGTATGATACTATTATTTTTAGCTATCCTTAATTCTCTGGGTGGGTGCTGGCTGAAATCAGCAGGCGAGGACATAACCCAGAAGAACGGTGGTGGTGGGAAGGACTAAATCAGGGCAGTGCCACCACACAGTGACTCTAGCAAGGGGCACATCACACCTACTTCATAAAGGGCGTTCTTTCAGCTCCATCATCAGAAAGGTGCGCGCACACACACACACACACACACGCATATATACGTTTAAATATAAAATTGATGAAACTTTGCTTTGACTGAAATAGATTTTTAAAATACTCAAGTATGAATGCTTTACTACCTACCCCCACCCCTTCCTATATTTCACCTGGGACGCATGTGGCAGGTCCGTCCTAGGCTGGATGTCAAGGCCTGCAGGGCAAAGCTGACTGCCCAGAACCACCTGCAGCCTGTGTCCACAAGAAGCTCAGTGTCACAGGTCCCCTGACAACCTTCACTGGTATTTTAGTCAAACCAAGAAGTATGGTGTATAAAATTCTACTGCATTTGGCACTCAGGAATATTCCTGACAAAATATGGTCTAAAAGAATGGAAAAAGTAACATTTCCATGAAAACACTGAAATTTTATTGATATATTGCAAAAGACTTTCACACCAAAACTAAGAACATGAGCAATATTTGAAGCATACAAAGGTACTTTTACCATGCATTTCAGAAACTTTCCCAAAACATGAAATTAGTATGTATTAATAGTAGAGAACAACAACAAAAAACAATTAGTAATTGTTTACATTTCACAAGCAAGTAGTCCTGTATCTTACAGAACATAATTCAGAACTTCAAATAGTCGTAAATTTAAATGTCTGAAAAAAGAAATTGAAATTTAAACATGCAGCCATCCTCTGCCCAATACTTTCACTCAGCTGTTACTGAACGAGAATCAGCGTTAACATCTTCTCTGGGAACAGGAAATCCCATCATCTTCACCTGGGCACACATCTGTGCAGCTCTACTGCTTGCTATTATTATGTGTTGCGTTTTATGAAAGAGACGATACAATGGTGCATACAATGCAGGTGCCCAACCACCTCAGGGAAAAAGCCAGTGCATACCGACCCAGTGGCCTCCCCAGTGGGAGTGACAGCGGTTATTTACTGAAACGTACATGGGATAAGAATGTTTCAAGAGCTTCATAGACCAGAACCTCTGCCAGCAAAGACACCACAACTTCCCGAAGAGCCGGCCCAGTTCAGCCAGGAAAAAAAGACAATCACCCCCAGTATACCTCCTGTGCCGATCGGACACTTGCCAGTGAACCACGGGCTCACAGTGGCAGCAAGGATGCGATTCTGGCAGCTGTCCAGGCTGGACACCACACCCTCCCCTCAGAGGGCAGCGGCATGCCTCCACCCAGCAGCACTCCAGGCCCCACAGCTGGGCAGTGCCCACCAAGGAGCAGACCGTCTTATTTTACAGATGAGGAAACTGAGAGCAAAAGGACGGTTCACGCCTGCTCATGGGACATGACAGCCTGATGGCAAAGTTTACCTCCCGTTCAGGTGGTGCTTCACACCTGGGACATGTACAAACGTGGGCACCTGTGCTTTCTGATGTGTAAAAAAGAATAAAGATTCTGGGGGCCGTCCTAGCAGTCATGTTCCATCACGTTATTTTCCAATTCGAGGCAAAGCTGCCAGACCCACACTGAAGCAGCGCACAGGGTGTACATTTGCCAACAGCTTGCCCGTCTAACTTTGCCAGTTAACGTGAAAGCCAGGCTCTGGGCCTGCCCACATTTAAGTGCTCATGACAAATGCACACTTCCTGATGACCTCGTGACTGTGGGTGCTGCAGCCTCATCCCAGGATGAGGCCATGAATGTTTTCAGGGCTCGCCATGTGCCGGTACTCTACAAAGACACCACAACTTCCCGAAGAGCCGGCCCAGTTCAGCCAGGAAAAAAGACAATCACCCCCAGTATACCTCCTGTGCCGATCGGACACTTGCCAGTGAACCACGGGCTCACAGTGGCAGCAAGGATGCGATTCTGGCAGCTGTCCAGGCTGGACACCACACCCTCCCCTCAGAGGGCAGCGGCATGCCTCCACCCAGCAGCACTCCAGGCCCCACAGCTGGGCAGTGCCCACCAAGGAGCAGACCGTCTTATTTTACAGATGAGGAAACTGAGAGCAAAAGGACGGTTCACGCCTGCTCATGGGACATGACAGCCTGATGGCAAAGTTTACCTCCCGTTCAGGTGGTGCTTCACACCTGGGACATGTACAAACGTGGGCACCTGTGCTTTCTGATGTGTAAAAAAGAATAAAGATTCTGGGGGCCGTCCTAGCAGTCATGTTCCATCACGTTATTTTCCAATTCGAGGCAAAGCTGCCAGACCCACACTGAAGCAGCGCACAGGGTGTACATTTGCCAACGGCTTGCCCGTCTAACTTTGCCAGTTAACGTGAAAGCCAGGCTCTGGGCCTGCCCACATTTAAGTGCTCATGACAAATGCACACTTCCTGATGACCTCGTGACTGTGGGTGCTGCAGCCTCATCCCAGGATGAGGCCATGAATGTTTTCAGGGCTCGCCATGTGCCGGTACTCTGAGCGTTACCTCCAGGCACAAGTCCTCTTCAGTCTCCACTGGAGAGAGACCTGTGTCCCGTTTGTCCCGGACGCTGCAGGTTCCGAGGGCACTTCAGAAGCTTCACCTCCAGGAAGCCCTGGGTCAGGCTGCTTGCTGTTGCTGAGGCAAGCCCATTCTCACCCTTGGCCTGTCTCTTCGCGAGATGTCAGCTTACCCTGGGTAACCGGCTATCAATATGTAAAGACTACTAGGAGTATGAGTGCACACACAGTTATGCTGAATGCCAACTAACTCATGGCTGAAAGTGAAGTGACGTGTCAGTTGCTCAGTCACGTCTGACTCTTTGCGACCCCATGGACTGTAGCCTGCCGGGGTCCTCTGCCCATGGAACTAAGGCAAGAATACTGGAGTGGGTTGCCATTTCCTTCTCCAGAGGATCTTCCTGAGCAGGGATCAAACCCAGGTCTCCTGCATTGCAGGCAGATTCTTAACTATCTGAGCTACCAGGGAAGCCGTTGAGGTCTGTTAAGCAGTGCAGAGTATGAATTTTAAGAAATCTCAATTTATATGTGCAAGATCAGGTTTTACGAATGTACCAAACACAGATGAAAAAACAACAATGAACTCCAGGTGGTACAGTTCATTACCTTAATGTCTGGTTTGCATCACTTAACCTGAGTGTCAAGGCAGGCTTCACACTAGGCGACCAGTAGGACAGCCCAGCACTCACAGTGTCTCTGCTTCCACCTTCCTTCCAGAGTCTCATCATCAACTCATTTTTCTATCAATTAAGAATTTCTCACCATTACTAATCCCAGTGCCGCAAGGTGACAGTAATGCTTGATCCTTGAGGGAAAAAAGGCCTGTCTTCTTAGCTTCTGGTCACGTAGCAATATCCATTTCTGGTCACGTAGCAATATCCATTTCTGGTCAGAACCCTCTGGCTGCTCTGCAGGTTTTAATTCACATTCTCATTCACTATTACTTTCATCTTCATCGGAACTTCTGTCACTGGTCTCAACCAAGCCTGCCACATTGCAGGACAGGTTTTTAGAATTTACAACTAAAAAAGGTAGATGTTATTAAAAATATGTTAATAATTATAGATTCATTAGCAAATCTTCCCCCACCCCCATTATTTTGGTCATTGCAGAAAAAATCCCTTGGGTTCTAGCTCTATTTTATGACTCAAGTTTTCATTATTTTAAGCAAGAAACATGCAAGTAAAATTTGCCTGCTTATGGGTAAGTTATTTTCCTAGGAGAAATATTTGTACAAGTGTTATAAGGAGGTGTGTTTATAACCAAGAGTTGATACTTTCTCAAAGCAGAACATTTAGCACCAAGATCAACCACAAGGAGAAAACTAACGCCTGAGGGCTTTACATTAACGGCCCATTCTTACGAAGGCTGCATTCCTGGGATCTGCTGAGTGCTGCATCCACCCCCATGATGCTCAGGTCCTACAACGCTCCTGGGGAGTGGGTGCACCTCCTCTTACCTTTGGCAAAGTGGCTATCCTCCTTATCCTCATCACAGTCTTCCCAGTGATCAAAATCAAAAGCCACATTTGGATTCTGTTCAACATAACAATTTACATTACTTAAGAGAATAAAGCATACTCAGGGTGTTAAGACCCAGCGTGGCTGACTTCTACTCACCTTCTGTTTGAGTAAGCCACACCAAGACTCTTTCTGCTCTTTTGCAAGAGTGATTATAGGTTCGTCATATCTAATTATGCATTTGCAATCATCTTTTATTATGTTGGCTTGCAGCTCCAAATCAGCCAAGTAAAATTTCTCTCCTACCCAGGCACTAGATTTACAAAAAGAAATAAAGTCAGCCTTTTAAAACATTAGAAATTATTTCTATTTTATTGTATAAGCTATACATAAACCCACCTGAAAATGACTCTATCTCTAAAGTATTTACATTTGTAATCTTTTACATTCCTTATTTTTATCTTCAGTATGACCACATCCTCTTTTTGGAACCATTTTATTTGTGGGTGGAAGCTGGAAGAAAGGGAAGAGGATTATATACTCATCTCTGTGTATTTGCTAGGCAAGTAAGGAAAGCAGACCTCAGCAATGAGTATACCTTTTCGGCGGCTCTGTAGTTTTGTTGATGGAAGCACCTCCAGTGTTTTCTGGTAAAGTTTCTGTACAAAAAGTCAAATTTTCCTATAGGTTATTTATATGTGACTCCATAATATTTATATATATACTATATATAACACATATATATATTACAAATAACATATAAATATCACTCCATTATATATATAATATATATATTATATGTACTTTTGGCATTTTATGCAACTTTTAGTTGAGGAACTACTAAGAATATTAGCATAAACTTCATAGTAACCAAAGTATCCAGTTGCAAAGAACAATTTAAAAAAAGTAAAATGTACATCACTTCGTGTAACTAATTAAACAAATACTAGATTAAGAAAAGAACTATTTACCTTGACTAGTATTATTATTAAACAATCAACAATCGGGAATGTAAACTCTCTGAAAAAGGACCATATGTAATTGTTGGCCACAGGACACCACTGCTCCAATGTCCCTGCTATCTCAACCTGCTAGGACCCCTAACAATTTCCAGAACAGCAATCAGCACACGCAAGGACCACTCCAGTACATAACACTTCGTAAATCAGTGTAATTGAAATTCTCAGTCTAAAATGTCTGAGGCTTTCAAAGACTTGAGCAAAAATGCTTATAAGGGGCTTTGTTAACAATAGTCAAAAACTGAAAACAATGTCTTTCAACAGGCAAATGGGGAAATAAATTGCAGTATATTCATATCACAGAATGAAAGTGAAAGTCCTCAGTCATGTCCGACTCTTTGCGACCCCATGGACTATATGGTGCATGGAATTCTCCAGGCCAGAACACTGGAGTGAGTAGCCCTTCCCTTCTCCAGGGAATCTTCCCAACCCAGGGATCGAACCCAGGTCTCCTGCATTGCGGGAAGATTCTTTACCAGTTAAGCCTCAATGGAAGCCCATATCACAGAATATGACTCAGCAATGAAGTACCACTGCTACTTACAATAATCTAGATGAATTTCACAGACTTAATGTTGAATGAAGAGAGACACAAGAGTGTATACCATGTGCTTCCAATTCAGCAACACTGATGGTATCGTAAGTAAGAACAGGGGCTCCGAGGCAGGGTTACAGACAGGAAGGGTATGTAAGGGAGGCCACTGGGATTCTGGAAATGGGCAATAGCCTGACCTGGGTGGGGTAATGGACATGTGCACACAGGAAAATTTTGTATGTTTAAGATTTGTGCACTTTTACTGGATAAGCATTACACCTCAAATAACAAAAAGGAAAAAAGTTACAGAAAAAAAAATTGGAAGCTGAATTGTCAAAAATAGAAAGTTAGGTAACATCAGTTTATATCACCTTCTAATTCATCTAAAAGTGGAAAGCCTAAACATCAGAAAATTTCCAAGCATTAGTGATTTTAAGTTACCCATCTTTTAGATAACCAACCATGCTTTCGGTTTTCTGAGTCTGTCTTGGAGTCAGCTCCTCTCTCCGAGCCCTTGTCCTCTTGCCGTGTGCTCGGCAGGCAAGCACTGTCTTCTCCGGAAGAAGGTATCCTGGGCGGAAGAGGCAGAGCTTAACCATGAGATGAAGAGACAGGAAAAATCTGGATCCCTACAGGGATTTCCAGCAAGAAGAGGGAGGCAGGCAGAGAAGTGCCTCCTGCAGCAGTCAAACCCGCAGAGAACTTATGGCTCACTGACAGACGACAGGCAGGCCAGCCAGCTCTGGGCACTGGCATCAGGTGCCAAGTGGCTGATGGACATACATCATCCAACAAGTGCAGGAACTCATTTGCCAAAATAAGATTCTTTTCAAATCACTTAACTCTGAGAATTGTATGCACCGCTGCCCACTTCAAAGAGCAGAGAGTACAATCCATCTCCTTTCCTCTCCTGCCCCAGCTTCCCAGACACCCTCTTACCACTCCTGGTCTATTGCTAGGAACATTCTTTGCAAGAAAAAGCAAATACTGCCCTCTGTATCTTTCTATCTAAAACACACACACATGTTTAAACACATGGGAACCTACTACATTACATTCTCTTTTCTGTCCCTTACTTTATTGTACTTAATAACTGGAAATTACACCATATCAATATATAGAGGGCAATCTCATTCTTACAAAAAACTGTGTTTTTCTTTTGGTTGTTTTAACAGGTAACCACATACATGTTGTTCAGTATTTTAGAAACAGACAGACAAGTCTACACAGTGAAAATCTCTCCCCTCCCCTCTGTTCCCCAGCCACCAATTTCCTTTCTGAAGGGAGAAAACATAAATCATTTCTTGTGCATCCTTTTTGAGTTAATTGAAGCGTAAACGAGCAAACCTACACGAACACATGTATTACGCCCCTATGGGTAGGGAGTGTGCACGTATGTCTCCAAGAGCACATCTGACTGACACATATGAAGCCTGTGGCATGGAGGGCAGTGTCCCATGGCCCAACCATTCAGGCACGAATCCCTTCTCGGGCTTCATTCCCTTCACCACTGTGCGGCCTTAGACCCTCCGTCGCCCACCCTCTTCCTCCACCTCCTCTGACCTCCTCTTCTCGGCGCTCATTTACTGGGGATCAGTTCCTTCCTCCTCCCACACTTACACAAGTAACGACTGTCCTCAAACACCAGCAAAGTAGAGCCTCCCCACCCACCTTCCTGCACTCTAGGTTTATACCTTCAATAACCTGAAACTCAAGTCCAAAACCCACTCAGTGTCTCCTCTCCTCTGAGCTGGCTGCTCTCTGAGAAACATCCTTGAACAGCCAACCCTGCCACTATCTCCTCAGTCCTGAGGACTCAGAGTGACACAATTATACACACTCCCCTGTGTCTGTCAACCTTTCAGACCCCCAGTCTCTGTCCCCCTTTCTAATCTGCTCTAAGAATGGCGCCATGCTCCTCGACTCTGGTCCAGCGAATACCACAGCTGCCTATTCACCTCCTGAAATGGAGCCCCCTCCTGGGAGGCAAGCTTCCTGGGTAGCTCTCGTGGTCTCTGCACGTCCCTGCATCTATGTTTATGGCCACAGGTGTCCAGCACTCCTGTAAGACTGCAGAATCATCTGTGCAGGGACCGAGCAGAGTGCTTGGTTCAGAGCCGGGCTCAACAGGAGTTGTGGGGTTTCCTATAAGTGACCCACCTCTGTCTTGAGTAACCCTACTCAACTGCAGTGGCATCTTCAGTTTTAAAAGAGTATCTCAAAAGTAAGTATGGAGCACTTCCCTGTAGATAGGAGTCCACCTGCCAGGGCAGGGGACACGGGCTTCATCCCTGGCCCGGAAGACTCCACAGCTGCAGGGCAACTAAGCCTGCGCGCCACAACTACTGAGCCTGTGCCCGAGAGCCCGGGCGCGGCCACGACTGAGACCCGCGTACCTAGGGCCTGTGTGCTACCGCGAGAGAAGCCACCGCAGTGAGAGGCCGCGCTCTGTAGCAGCTAGAGAAAGCCCGAGCAGCAAGAACACCCAGCACAGCAAAAAAAAAGCAAGCATGGAACAATTTTTGTTTCCTCACAGTGTACAGAAACCAAAACATATTCTAATCCCACAGGTACCCAATTTTATTAGGACAGAAAACCTTGTAAACTTCAGACAGTTTTCATCTTTGCCATGTTCTCTGAAATGCCCCTACGCTGAGCAATAATTTAGGAACACTTCAAGGTCTCCCACGATCACAGCACTAAATCCGCCTGTCAGTTCTCAGTCCTTATTTCATGTGGCCTCAGCAGCACCGGGCAGCTCACGGCTCCCTGCTCTGTGAAACTCCTTCTTCACTGCGATCCTGGATGCTCCCCCTGACCCCAGCCGGCTCCAGGCTGCGTCTTCTCAGGTGCCCACTGCCGGCCACCTCTCAGCATTAGAGGCCCCTCAGCTAGCTCTCGACACCCAGCATCTACTGACCACACCCTCATACAGGCACATTCAGACACCAGCTACTTCTCCCACCTCCACACTACCACCCCAGTCTGGGCCACAGTCATCCATCCTGTCCCGAGCTCTGGGCACAGACTTCGTCCCCTCCAGTCTCTTCTCAACACAGCAGCCCAGGGTGCTCTGATTAATAAGTCTTTCCTCTGCTCAAAATCTCTCACAGCTCCACTTCCTCTTCCGAGGAGCCTATCCTTGCACCGGCCACAGGGTCCAAGAAGACCCGACCCCGGTGCCACTGCACCCTCACACCCAGACTCTCCCCTTGTTTGCGCCTCTGGTCACTGCACCTCCCTCTGTTCCGGGAGCCAAGGAACAACCAGGCCTTCTCCTGCCCACTCGAGTCTTCGCCTCTCGACATCTGCCTGGGTCAGGACTCAGCTCTGGTGTCTTGGGGCTCACCATCTCAGACCCCAAACCACCTTCCTTTCCCTTTTGCGTTAATCTGCTCCATCTCACATACCACCATCTGATCCCCTATGTATCTCTGTAACATCTTCATCGTTTTTCTCTCCCCATTAAAATGTAAGTCCTTCATCTATTTAGTTCACTACTGCATGCCTAGTAGATAAGAAATGTTTGCTTAATACATGAATGAATTTTAAAATTTCAACTTTACCTACTGGCAACTTCAATTAAAAGTATTTATCAGGTCAACTGAAACAAAGTTAGACTGAAGAAATATTCCAGCATCCGAAACAAAATGGTGGATTAGGAAACTCCAAGTTCCTATTTCCCTATAGGTAACACTGAAAGAACCACCAAAAGCTGTCTGAACCAACTTCCTGTTCCCCCAGCTCCTCCCCTGAAGCCAGAGAGGGCAGAGCCGACTTTGTGAATTATTTGTGTAGCCCATTCTAAGCCGCCTGGAGCCAAGACAAGACACTCACTCAGAAAAGTCCTAACACGACCCTAAGCTTCTACCTCAGGCTGATTTCTAGGCCAGAGAAATCGGGAAACTAGGTGGAGAAAATGGGAAACTTGTGCATTGCTGGTGGGAACACAACACTTAGCTGTTGTGGAAACAGTCTGTCAGTTTAAAAAATTAAACACAGCATTGCCATGTGATCCAGAAATCCCAGAAGACATGAAAGCAGGAACTTGGATAGATGCACACCAGTGTTCACAGCAGCACTATTTACAACAGCCAGATGTCCACTACAGACGAACGGATAACAAAATGTGGTACAGCCATACAGTGGAATGTTTTTCAGCCTTAAAAAGGACAAAGTTTTGACGTCTGCTATAACATGGATAAACCCTGAAAACATTATGCTAAGTGAAATAAGCCAGGCAGAGGAGGACAAATATTATATGACTCCATTCATATGAGGTACCCAGGATAGGTAAACTAATGGAAACAGAAAGAACAAAGGAGGTTTCCAGGGGCTGAGGGAACAGGAGAAAGGGAGTTACAGTTTAATGGGTACAGGGTGTCTGGCTGGGATGTTGAAAACTTCTGCAAATGGACTATGGTGATGGTTACACAACAGTGTGAATGTACGTACTGCCACTGCATTATATACTTAGTAACAGTCAGAGAAAAACATCATATATTAACACATACACACAGAATCTTAGAAAAATGGGACAGATAAACCTATGTGCGAAGCAGAAATAGAGACACAGACACAGAGAAAAAACATACAGTCACCAAAGGGGGAAGGGGGATGGGATGAACTGGGAGATGGGGACTGACATATATACACTGCTATGTATAAAACAGATAACTAACGAGAACCTACTATTTTGCACCGGAAACTCTACTCAGTGCTTTGTAGTAACCTAAATGGGAAGGAAATTTAAAAAGAGGCAATATGTGTATATACACAGCTGATTCACTTTGCTACAGAGCAGAAACTAACAAAAGTTGTAAAGCAACAACACTCCAATAAAATTTTTAAAAAATAGTTAGTGATATATTTTATGTGTATTTTACCACACTTTGAAAAAACAAAAATGAGAAATTCTGTTATGTATATTTTAACACAATTAAAATGCAATTTAAGAAATTGCCAATAATTTTACTAGCTGTGCTAACAGCACTTAAGTCAAGTTTTTTAAAGCCTTTTGTTGTTCCACATCCTTGCCAACACTTGGTATTTCCTTTCTCTCATTTCCCATGGCTGTGAAGTGGTACTGCTCCACTGTGGTTTTAATCTGCATTTCCCTGATGAGTAATGGGCCTGAGGACCCTTTCATATACTAATTACTGGACAGCTAATCAATGAATTGGACATTGTGAAGTGTCTGTTCACATCTTTCGTTCCGTTTCTACTAGGTGTTTGCTGTTTCTGACTGAAAGGAGCTCTTGATGCAAGTCCTTTGGTGGACACACATGCTGAGTCCATCCTCCCATCTAGGGCTAGCAGTACACTCTCTCAGAGACTGCAAAAGTCCTCTCATATCTTGCTGTGGACATGAAAGCTGGTACAACCGATCTGGAAAACTGCTGAGCAGTTTCCATTCCATTCTGTCAAAAGTACATTTGTAAGTGAACCAAAGCACATGAAGGAGAACATTTACAGTGCCACCTGAAGTGGCCCAGACCTAGAAATTCCTCCCATCAACAGAATGGGGAAATAAATCACACTCATAACAACAGAATATGACACAGCAATGAGAATCCATGGTCTACAGCTGCACGCACAACATGGATGAATTCAAGTAACAGTTAAAGATGTCAGGAGACACAAGAGACATATTGCATGGCTCCATTCAAAGAACGAGCCAGGAAGAGTCATCCACGTTGTTTTGTGTCTGAAAGGCGGCTGCCCTTGGGGAGCAGCAGGAGGCAGCTCTGAGTGGTGCCCTATTTCTGATCTGGGCTGGCTTCCATGCTCAGAAAATCCACCAAGCCATACTTATGATGTGTGTACTTTTCTGGATGTGTGCTGTCAATAAAAAGCTAACAAAAGTTCCTTCTGTAAGTGATACGGTGAAATAACATATCTGGAACTTGTTTTATAATAGTCAAGCAAAAACAAAAGTGTGGGCTGGAGTGTGGATAAAATAAGACTCTCCAAATATTGGTAATTATTGGGTGATGGGAACACAGAGACTCATTAGACTACTCTACTTTCAGCAAAAACGTCCATACCACTTGTGAGTTCTATTTCCACAAAACAGCTCTTCCAAAGGAGGACAAAAATCCACTTACAGGGTCTGGTTCAGGCTTTCTTCAAAAGATGGCATTTTAGCTCCTTTGTATAATTTTTTCAGTTGTTCTACATGTTCTGAGTTATCAATGCCCATTCCCATTGACAAAATTTCAGCTCGAACATTATAATCAATGACAGAAGTTTTCAAGTTTGAAAGTTTTGTAATGTGCACCTTGAATCAAAGAAAAAATACAAAGTTTATAAGAACCGCATTTAGAACTTTAGATGAATCACAAACATTCTCCCATGGCCTCCCTATCTCACTGTGTAGTGTTCAATGCACCAGGGCACATGCCACCACGTGCAGGGTCTCCTCATCAGTCTTCCAGAACCCAGCCGCATACTGGGGAGATAAGATCAGGTGTGGAGCAAGGGCCAAGATCAAGTCCTGGGGTAAAACCCCAGACAAGACCCATCCGTGATGCTGTAACCACACACACAACTCTTAGATCTTCCTGATTTTCCCTCTCGTATGCTCACCTCTCCTAACAAGAAGCCTCAGGCTCTTTAGAGGCCCAGAAAGGGCCCATGCCAAGGCTCTAGATCCTGTATCTCGGGCAGTTTCCTCCATTTGTTTTTTTTCTGCACCCCAAATACTCTCATCCGTTCCAGTTTACACAATATTAAGTAAAACATGGAAATCTGCAACTGTCTGATTCCTGCTGGTAGGAGGTGTGGCCCCAGGCCTCTCCTGGGCTGGGGGAGCAGACCAGGCTGGCAAGGCAGGCACGCCTCCTCAGGGGCCTGGGATTGGGAACGCTCTCCCATCCAGGAAAAGGGAGGAACCTTTCTCCTCTCAGCCCAGGGACCACGCTGCGGTGTGGGGAGGAGATGGGGCATGTCTGTTTCCCCTCCAAGGTGCCATGGACACGGTTACACTTTGGAGCCGAGGAAGCATATTTGCCAGGTAGGTTTTCTTTTTTTGCTTCATTCTCTTAGCTGTAGTTTAAAAAAAATCCTTGCCTATTAATAAAGTCTCCAATTTATTTCTATAATAAAGAACCACCACATATTATTATGACATCTACTAAGAACCACCCCACCTCCGATCTCTTCATTTACCTGCACTGGTGGTCTCTACCTTCCCTTCCAAAAATCATTTTCTCCTCTTACTTGTAAATCTTATACCCAAACTCATCTTTTTCAGTGTTAAGGCTTTCTCACTCTTAGGGAAAAAAAAAACTTTTAACAAAACAGCTTTTATGAACTGAATTCCTTTAAACTTTATAAATTATCATAATAATTAAGATTTAAGTCTAATAGAGCAAAACTCTGAAGTAAAAGTAGAGTCCCCAGGGTGCAAGCAGAGTAGGGCCTGAGAGTGGATCTCAGAGGGGACGCCCGAGGCCCTGGCCTCACATTCTGTCTCGCTGCCCAGCCCCACAGAAGCTCCACAGGGCAGCTGTCTGTCAATGCGTGGAACCCCAGTGCCCCATACAGGTCCCGGCACACAGGAGGCGTCCAATAAATATTCGGTGAATGGACGAGGTAGAAGCCATGAGCACAGTAAACCTGCCTTGGAAAGCCTGAGGACGTCTCCACGCTGCTGACCGCTGTTACGATCATTCACAGCTAGACCAGCACACAGCTGTGCTCCTTCCTGCAGGGAAGGGGCTGCCCCAGGCTTCCCACGCTGCGGGCAGAGGCTGCGAAGGAGACTAGCGGTGCACAACTGACACCGGAAAAGAACTGGAAACGGCAGAGACTGTCACACGTGCTAACAACAGTTTCATGAATTTCCTCTTGGTTGTACGTGTGAGTACATGCGATTTACACACACATGCCTGCGAGTGCTGGGTTATAACATTAAAGATTCCTTTAAACCATAAAACCCATGACCACACATTCATGACCCAAATAACATGAGACAAGCTCTCCTTCACACAGAGCCCTTATCAAATAAGCCTCCATTTCCGTGAGGCAGAGAGTTATTTAACCAACAGGTTAGAATAATTTGGGTAATTTCAGGGGCCTGGAAGATCCCATGGCAGGCTAGAGTCCACGGGGTCACAAAGAGTCGGACATGACTTAGGGACTGAGCACATTCAAACACGTTTCTTTCTAAGAAAACTGCGTTCTTACCATTGGATCAATCCAAACGGTATTTCCTAAAGCCAGTACCACTTTTGCATCATGCAGTTTTCCAATAATTTTATGATGAATGTACCTAGTAACCTGAAAAAAAATATACATAAGTAAATTTATTTGAAGAGTTAAGGAAATACTTAATTGTCATGTGCTCAGTAGTTTCACAAGAAGCTTTTCCATGCCTTTCACTTGAGCCTCATGACCACTCCATGAAGCAGGTTATGGAGGCCATAATGCCCCGACACCAACAAGGGTAACCACAGCGGAGAAGGACGAGGACAGGTGCCAAGTCCCAAGCACGTGGTATTCCTGCTGCTCCCTAGGAGACCACACAATGGGGCTGCTCACGCCAGCGACGCTGGGGTTGAGGGGCCCTGGTCTCCACTACCAGTGGGACTCTCTCTCTTCACGCTCACTGAACTTCTAAAGAAATAAACATCCATCATCTAAAGACAGGCTGACAGCTGATAGAGGAATGAGAGCTGTGCCTCCACACTGGGAAACACGCGGTGTGGGGAATCCACAGCATGGACCTGCACTCAGGATGCACCCTTGCATCTGTCCTCACTCAGCGCCACTGTCTACAGCCCAAACTTTTTACTTTGCCATGTGCAACGGCTTCTTTCATATCCTATTCATCAGACTGTATGAAACGTAACCTTCTGAAGAATTAAAGGCCTTGTTATGAATAGGAATCACTGCTCTGGTGATGAGCAAGACTGTCTGCCTGGTCCCCCCGCCCACCTGGGACAGCTGTGTGCGCCATGTCCTGGCACAGCGGGGCTTCTTCGCCTTCAGTGCCGTATCCAGTCTACTTGGTGACATCCTAGTTACCTGTTCTGAAGGACCCAGAGGAAACGTCCCTTCCTTTGGAAGCTTTTCTGGACTCTCTCTCTTTCCTTGCCATCTTCCCAACTCCAGTGGAATTACCTGGTCCCCCAGAGAGGTACAGGGTACCCACTCTTGTAGCTACTTGTACTGTTTATTCTCTCTAAGTGACAGTTTATTTTTAGCACAGTAGCTATCTTATACCAATTCTAAGCCTGGGAGCACTATCGATAGTGATGGCCAATCATGTCTGGCAGCCTCTGAGGGTTCAGAGCTACGTTCAGAGCACCGCGCTGGCAAGTGCATCCCTGCCCAGAAATACGAAGCATTTCGCCCGAACCCAGTACTCCAAATTCAAATACACCTCAACTCCCTGTTTATTCCTGGGTTAAATATATTATAGAAGTCAACAAATACAAAAAGCCCAAATTACCCACCTTTGGATTCCATTCAATTTCATTGTCCACGGGTTTCACTCTACAAACGATAAACTCCACAGCTTGGGGGGGCAGTGTGTGGAATCTTTCTGGGAGGTGTAGCAACTGGTCTCTTGTGACGAGCCCAGTCCTTCCTTCATCTATGAACTTCACAAGGACATTATCCAGGGCCCACGTGTCCTCCTTCTGGCTCATCTCCAACACCTGAACCCTGCAGAACAACAGTGGCCTCAGACCAACACAGAGACCCAAAGGGAAATAACTGTTGCTTCAACTTACTTGCTAAAAGCAAACCACACAGAAGTTTCCCCTAAACTGCATGACTTAACTCCATACTAGAAATAAAATAACTAGAGTCAGCAAGAGCACTTAGCCATGATTTATTTATTTAATTCAAGTATAAGGGTTTCCCTAGCAGCTCAGATAGTAAAGAATCTGCCTGTAATTGAGGAGATCTGGGTTTGATATCTGGTTCGGGAAGATCCCCTGTTGAAGAAAATGGCTACCCACTCCAGTATTCTTGCCTGGAGAATTCCATGGACAGAGGAGCCTGGCAGACTATATATTAGTCCATGGGGTCACAAAGAGTCAGACATGACTGAGCAACTGACACTTTCACTTTCACTTCAGACCTATGTATAAAAGATAGTGTAGCATTCTGAAAAGAGGAAATTCCTTTATCTGACAAGTTAAATGTTCCAAGGTTCTCTATCTGGGCTATCAACAAGAGAGGACAGGTATGGCATTCACTGGACATGGGAGCACACACCACGTGAGGCAGGATGGAACACTGACTGCCGCTTCCTGAGCTGACCTTAGATAACTTACATAACCTCGCCAGGGCTCAGTATACACACAAAGTGAAAGTTGCTCAGTTGTGTCCGATTCTTTGTGACCCCATTGACTATACAGTCCATGAAATTCTCCAGGCCAGAATACTGGAGTGGGTAAGCCTTTCCCTTCTCCAGGGGATCTTCCCATCCCAGGGGTCGAACCCAGGTCTCCTGCATTGCAGGCGGATTCTTTACCAGCTGAGTCACCTGGGAAGCCCAAGAATACTGGCGTGGGTGGCCTATCCCTTCTCCAGGGGATCTCCCCAACCCAGGAATTGAACCAGGGTGTCTTGCATTGCAGGCAGATTCTTGCCCAGCTGAGCTACCAGGGAAGCCCAGGACTCAGTCTGCTTATCTGTAAAATGAGAACTGTGCTCATTTTATGGGAATGTGTAAGAATTCCATGAGTTAAAGATGCACGTGTGTGCAGGACAGTGAGAGCTCGATGACGGTCATATAAACGCCACACTGTCATCTGTGCTCTGGGCTCCGCGGTCCCGGGGCCGACGAGCTCGGGAGTAGAGCTGAGCTGGGCATGTGGGCACACGACCCTGCCACCACCCTCCTGGGAGGCAGCCAGGCTCAGCATATGCACACTGCTCAGATGGACAGCGATGAAAATAGGGATTCAATACCGTTTAACATTACTTTGTGCTTCACAACTTGTAGAGATGAAATAGAGACATTTTACCTGTGAAAAACTGATTTTTCTGCTAACCCATATAATCCAAATTTCTCCATCTTTTCAACAGTTGCTTTATTATTGGAGTCTTCAAAATACTCTTTCATCTCAGCATTAAGAGTTGCACAAAGATCCTCATGTTTATCAACTATACGACCAAAGTAATTTGTTGCATTCAAAACATAAAAGGGTATTATCTGAAATATAAACAGTAAAGTGAAAGTGAAAGTCGCTCAGTCATGTCCGACTCTTTGCAACCCCATGGAATATAGTCCATGGAATTCTTCAGGCCAGAATACTGGAGTGGGTAGCCTTTTCCTTCTCCAGGGGATCTTCCCAACCCAGGGATCGAACCAGATCTCCTGCATTGCAGGCGAATTCTTTACCAGCTGAGTCACAAGGGAAGCCCATAAACAGTAAACATATTCGGAAAACAAATTAGATGTTGGTAGGAATGCAATAAGGTACAGTCACTTTAGAAAGTTTTGCAGTTTCTTATAAAACAAAATGGTCTTACTATATATAATCACAGGTAACAGTCCTTTGTATTTACCCAAGTAACTTCTGCCTACACAAAAACCTGGACTTGAGTATTAATCATAGCTTTATTCATAATTTCCAAAAATTGGAAGCAGCCAAGATGTCCTTCAGTAGGTGAACAGATAAACTGTAGCACACTCAGCAATAAAAGTGACCTAGTAAGCCATAAAAAGGCAAGGAGGAATCTTAAATGCAAACTGCTGTATGAAAAGCAGTTGAAAAAGCCTACACACTCTATGACAGCAACTATATGACATTTTGAAAAGGGGAAAACTACACAGACAGTAAAAAGATAGGTGGCTGCTAGTGATTCTGGGGAAGGGTTAGGTGGAGCACACGGGGATTTTCAGGGCAGTGAAAGTCCTCTGTGTGACACCGTAACGGTGACATGTGTCACCATACATCTGCAAAGTCCACAGAAGGAACACCGCAAGGAGTGAACCTTAAACTGTAGGTTTCAGTTAATAATAATGTATCAGTATTGGCTCATCAATGTCACACATGTCCACAATACTGGAAGATATTAACAACAGGGGAAACTGGTGGGGTCGGGGTAGGAGGGGGTGAAAGGGGAATTCTGTATTTTCTGCTCAGCTTTTCTGTAAAACTAAAACTGTTTGAAAAAATAAAATATATTAATTAAAATAACAACAACAAAAGAGCAGATGCGTAAAAACCAGCCACACCACAAGACCTGCAAGGTATGCCTGTCCGTGCAGGAAGCAGCGCTGGGCGGCAAGAGTGTGCCTGAAGGACTGAGGACAGGAAGACCCCCAGGAGGCAGGTAGTCACCCAGAGCTCACTGGGCCTGGGGACAAGGGCAGCTGACACTGGAACATCTCCATGCACCCTGGCAGTGGGTGAAGGCTGGGCCCCCTCCACCCACACTATCCACCCCCCAGGAGAGATGAAGGAGGAGAAAGGCCAGACGCACCTCGGGGGAGGGACACAGAGCCAGGGCCTTTCAAAATCTCAGAAACTGTGTCCTCATTTTCTTTTTTTTTTTTTAACAAGACATGGAAACAATAGAAATGAAAACTCTGTGAAATTATAGAATCCTGACCCACATCACCTCCTTAAATTTAGGGGAAAGGAATTTTATCTAAAAATGAACAACAGCAAAGTATCAAGATCAAATTCCATATTAAGTTATAAAATAAAAAAGAGAATAAGCAGCAGAATAAGTTGCTAGACATAATGAAAGCCACTAGGAATGTGTATCCACGAAACAGATGAAAACTGTAACCTTTGCTTTCAAAACAAGCTGCTTTTCAGCTTGTTAATTAAGAAATTAATTAATTAAGAAAAGTGATATATAATATAAAACAACAACATAAATCAGAATTTTAAACTGTAGAAATAAAGTGACAGAACTTGGGAAATAATTAGAAATTAAAGAAAAAAATCATGTCAGCAATAAAAACTGTATTGGGGTTGAATAGAGACTCACCCCACCTGCCCAATCTGCTCCAAAGAAAACTGTCTCTGTGTAAGCTCCCAGGATTTCTGACTGTGACCTCATTGGGGAAAAAGGTCTTTGCAGATGTAATTAAGCATCTCTGGGTGAGGAGATCACTGTGGATTATCTTGCTGGGCCTTTCATCTACCAACAAGTGTGCTTTGTAAGAGGCAGAGAGAGAGGTGAGAGCGATGCATCAGTGAAGGCACAGGCTGGAGGGACAGACACAGTACGAGCTGAGATGAGCCCAGGAATACTTGGAGTCAACAGAAGCTGTGAGAGGCCGGGCCCCCCGAGTCTTCAGCTGGAACACAGCCTCTTGTGGGCACCTTGATTTTAGACTCTGGCTTCCAGGATGGAGGGAATAAACTTGTGTACAACAGCCCCAGGAAACAAATACAGCACAGCCACGCAAGAAGGGAGCACAGGTATGGACGAACCTAACAGATACACCTTAGGGGGAAGGGAAGGTGAGACCAGAACATGCAAACTCAAAAGGAAGCAAAGAGTTAAAACAGAGTCACAGGAAAGTGACAACTCAACTCAGTAATTCTACTTGCATCTCAGAATATCCCCAAAGGAATAGCCATAGATGTTCTGAAAAGGGCTGTGTAATCATCACATTCAACAATAGACTGGTTCCAAATAGGAAAAGGAGTATGTCAAGGCTGTATATTGTCACCCTGCTTGTTTAACTTATATGCAGAGTACATCATGAGAAACGCTGGGCTGGATGAAACACAAGCTGGAATCAAGATTGCCAGGAGAAATATCAATAACCTCAGATATGCAGATGACACCACCCTTATGGCAGAAAGTGAAGAA